TGAAGACTGAACTGGACACGCCACCAACACGGGCAGAGATTGCATCTGCCATCAAGAAACTCAAATCACACAAGGCACCTGGTGTATCGATGGGATCCCAGCCAAAGTGTACAAGGAGGGAGGAGATGCACTTCTGGACAGCCTCACATACCTTTTCTCATCTTGCCGGGAGCAGGGAGCAATACCCCAAGAACTCTGGGATGCAGCGATTGTCTCCCTATACAAACACAAATGGGCGAAATCTGACTGCTCCAATTAACATGGAATCACCCTTCTCTCTATCGCAGGCAACATTCTGGCCAGGGTTCTACTGGACAGATCAGTGTCCACCACTGCCGAAGAAATCCTCCCTGAAAGCCAGCAGTGTGGCTTCGGGCCACTACGGGGAACAACAGCCATGGTTTTTTTCCCTGAGGCAGGTCCAAAAAATTGCAGGGAACAGAACATGGGCCTCTATGACCTCAACAAGGCTTTTGACACAGTGAGTGGAGATGGTCTCTGGAGAATACCGTTCAAACTGGGCTGCCCTCCCAAGTTCCGTACCGTCGTGCGGCAACTCCACGTCGGGCAGAAAGGCCACGGGGTTAAACACAACGGAAGCCTCTCGGACAGCTTCCCCGTCATCGATGGGCTCAAGCAAGGTCGCGTGCTGGCACCGACACTGTTCGCCATATTCTTCAGGCTGACGATGCTCCAGGAGGCCAAGCAGGGGCTGCTGCCAGGAGGCCTCTACCTCCGATTGCGGACAGATGGCAGTGTTTAAGATCTTCGGCATCTCTTGCCAAGACCAAAACCACGGAGCAACACGTTCTGGAACTGCTCATTGCAGATGACTGCGCACACTCGGACAATGCCCTACAGCTCGTCGTGAACTGTTTCTCTGAGGCGGCCAATGCTTTTGGTCTGACCATCAGCCTCAAGAAAAGAGAGGTGTTAGAACAGCCCCCACCTCGTGGAGTGTACACCCCACCATCAATCACCATCGACTACACCCATCTCAACGCAGTGGAACAGTTGACATGCCTGGGCAGCGTAAAATCCAACGACGCATCCCTCACCAAGGACATTGACGACAGACTTTCCGAGGCAAACGGCTCCTTTGGCAGGCTCCACACACGCGTCTGACGGAGCCACTCACTTCGCCTCACCACAAGGATGCAGGTACACATGGCGGTTGCGGTCACCACCCTTCTATACGGCTCAGAATCCTGGGTCCTGTACGGGAAACAGCTTAGGCTGCTCGAGCGTTTCCACCAGCGCTGCCTGTGGTCCATCATGACCATGAGATGTCAGGACGGTGTCACAAACAACAACAGAGTCCTGGAGAGAACTCAGACACCCGGAATTGAATCCGTCCTGCTGCTTCGTCAGCCACGCTGGGCTGACCATGTCTCGCGCACCGAGGACAGCAGGATGCCCAAAGCGGTCCGCTACAGCGAGCTGCGTCATGGGAAGCGAGACAGGAGAGGACCTCGCAGACGCCTCAAGGCCCAGCTCAAACAGCAACTGACCGCTGCGAGTTTCGACACCCGAAGCTGGGAGCTCAGAGTTGCAGACAAACACCGCTGGGCGCTCGACAGTCAACGAAGCGGCTAAAATGGCAGACCGAACGAGGCACGAAGCTTCAACATACTCAGGCCCCCGACTGGTCAGGAGTTCAAATGCACCACCTGCCACAACATTTGCAAGTCAAGGATCGCCCTGTACAGCCACCAGCACTCCTGCCAACTACAATGACCTCATATTCCTTTCCGATCTTGGCAAGCGAAGAACCATCGGACGATGACTACATGAGTCGTCGGTGACCGAGCTGAGAGCATCAACCCACCACACGAGAGACCGCGGTGAGTGACCGCTGTGGTCGGGGCTGAAGCCCGGCTATCTCCGCTGTGCTGGCTCTCTCAGCTCTGCCGGCTCTCAGCTGTGCCGGCACCGCAGTGCCTGTGACCTCTCGAGACAAACCCGGCGGGCAAAAAAAAAGTAAATAAATAAAAAGTAAATGTGAAATGTTGAAGTTTTGTTTAGACTTTGAGCGGATCGCCAGGCTTTACTTTGCGCAAAGATTGCGTCACGCTAATACGCTTTGAGCGAAAGGGGTCAGGCGATTTATTTATTTATTATTTAAAAAAAGAACCCCCATCCAAAAAGAAAAACTCCGAACAAAAATCCTTCACAGCCAAAACAATTATCTCGGCGTCGCGGAATCGTATAAATTCGATCTGCGGACAACGCAGTTCCCAGGAAGGCTAATGAGACCAATTAAGTGCGGCAGGAAATTGCACCAAACCCCACTGCTTTTCGTCTCTCTCTCTCCCTGATTCAGAAATCTGTCCCGAACCACAAAGGCCATGTGACCCACACAGTGCGAGCAATTTGATGTCCGAGACAAAGGCAAAGATCCCACCCCCCCCCTTATAGCCTGAAGAGACTGTCCGGGGCAAGTGTTGTTAGCGAGTAGCACCTCTGAAGGCACTGCACGGCACACGAGGGGGTGAATGGCCAGCACCACCCCGGCCGCCTTTGTCTCCCTAGTTGGCGAGGCGACGTTTACACAGTAGGACCGGTTCAGATAATCGTCACTGGGTGTTGGTGGCCGTGAGCGGGTTCGCCGGGTGCGCTAACCGCTGCGCCACCGCTCCCCACACTCCCAAGACACCCACAAGCGTGTTAACGGAACAGAAAAAACACATGGAGAAAGGGATTTTTGTTGCTGCTAATGTTCGTGAAAATTGTGCGGTTCACACGCCCCACCCCCCTCCCCTTCCCAGCCACTCTTCCCGCTGCGCTGCGCCCACCCCCCTCACACCCCCCACCCCAAGACAAGACCCTCAAAGTAACGACTCCACACTTTCGCAGTCTTCTCTTAGACAAGCGGAGGAGGTCACCCCTCGCGGTTGGCTACGTACGGTGCGACAGAAGTTCAGCGTACGTACACGTACCTATTGTTAGCGAGTAGCAGCACCTTAGAAGGCACGGCACACGAGGGAGTCGGTGGGGCCAGCACCACGCCCGGCCGCCTTTGTCTCCCTAGTGACGATGCTGACACACCGCACCAGGTATTCATTTGAGGCCCAGGACCAGTCCGGATACAATCGTACGGTCGCTGCTTGCGGTGTCACGGCCGGACGTGTCTGGCAGGCGATGACTCTGCGTGCTGCTGTCCCTCGCCGTCTTGAGCCGCCCGTTCCGCAGCTCTTCATCACATTCCTCTCCCTCTCCCGCCGCCGCCGCCGCCGCCGCCACGGTAGCGGTGTAACGACGGCGATCAGCGGCGCCACGAATTGCCAATCCGGAGGCTCGATTCTGTCTCGAGGGCACCGTGGGAATTGGAGCGGCGCTGCCAGTTTACAAAATCCATCCCCTCCCAGCGGCGTCAGTGGGTTTCAACCGCGGCGCTTCATTTTATCATTCGATATATTTTTCGTCATCATCACCTCTGTGGTCATCGTGATCAAACTTATTGTATTATACCAGGTGTAAGGCCCCAGCAACCTGGCAATCGCAAATGATAGCAGCTCCACGAAGTGGCAGGTTACCACCACCACCACCACCCCCACCACCACCCCCACCACCACCCCAACCACCACCATCACCACCACCTTCATCATCATCACGTGGGAATAGAGAGCTGCAGCCAAATACTCTGAACGCGTGGTGATGTTGATTTTAAATGTGGAGGGTTAAAACCCGAGCAGCTGTAGAATAATGCACGGTACAACGGAGAGAACGCGCCAGGGTCGGGATTAAACCAGCGACCTCCTGCACACCAGGTGAGGTAGTTCACATCTCACCACCACGATGCCGGTTTGGCGAGTTGCATGCGGTGGGGTAAAGCGTGTGTACGCCCACCCTCTCGTGGCCGGCGTGGAAGAGTAGGCCAAACACACCCACAAGTGTAGTAGCGGAGCACCCACTCCCCCAAACCCCCCCTCCCACCCCCCCCCACTCGGCCCGCAGTAAATTGTCGGGGCTGCTTGTTATTACAGAAACCATTTCCTGGAGATCATTTCCAGGGCTCCTTCTAATGACCGCGTCGTCGTTCGCGAATCCGAGACGCCTGATGCTTTCTAATGGAAAATTTCCTCTCATTCAGGCAAAACTCCAGGAAATGATGAAGCCAAAGGCGCAGCCCTGCAAGTCCTCGCCCAACGCTTCCGCCGGCTACATCTGTACGGAATCGAGTGTTGCCCCCTCGCACTCGAGAATTTTCTCCGCGCACGCTCTCGGGCTTTCTTCCACGTGCAAACGCTCGTTAGTTGGGGCCGAGGACACCTTAACATTGACGTACGCAACGTTGAACTTCTTCCTAGCCACCGTACGTAGCCAACCACGCGAATCGGAGGTGCTCGGGGGGGGGAGGACAACAAACTAAACACAAAGAGACAGTTGTAAAGAAATTAGTTTGTCAATTGAGATGATGATTTGAAAGTGCACAGCTCCAAGTGGATTCCTAATATCGGTAGGGAAGAGCATTCCAGACGGCCGCAGAAGCGCATCCGAGAGCGCCGCGCGACGCGGCTGAACATCATCGTTCGATGGCTCGCCAACAAGAGCGGCAGAGCCTGGCCGTGCTGCTCAGTCCTAGTCCCCTCCCCCGAGTCGTCCTCTCTCTCTCTCCGAGTCGTCCTCTCTCTCTCTGAGTCGTTCTCTCTCTCTCTGAGTCATCCTCTCTCTGAGTCGTTCTCTCTCTCTGAGTCGTCCTCTCTCCGAGTCGTTCTCTCTCTCTGAGTCATCCTCTCTCTGAGTCGTGTTCTCTCTCTCTTTCATAGTCATCCTCTCTCTCTGAGTCGTCCTCTCTCTCTCTCTCTGAGTCGTCCCCTCTCTCTCTTTCATAGTCATCCTCTCTCTCTGTGTCGTTCTCTCTCTCTCTGAGTAGTCCTCTCTCTCTCTATGACAGCGAGGAGCGGACGCTGCCCGGCGGCGGCAGTGGTGGCACAGGTGTAACGACTCCTCCATCCGTTCGCCATTCTCGCGTGGGGACTTCGCGTGCCGGCGCTTACCTGCTGCCCGTCTCCCTGCGCCAGCTGCGAGCGCCGATTCTTGTTCTGCCTGTAGTAGTTGTAGATGAGCATGGCAGCGTACACCTTGCCGACCGTCATGTCCGTAGCTGCGGGGGCGGCACGGCGGGCACGGCGCAGAGGTTACGGCACGCGGGTCGCACACGTGGACACTCTGCCGGGTGGGCGGGTGAGTAGGTGAGTGGGTGAGCGAATGAGTGGGTGCTTGAGTGAGCGGGTAAGTAGGTGGGTGGGTGATTGAATGGGTCAGTGGGTGGGTGAGTGGATAAGTAGGTGAGTGGATGAGTCAGTGAGTTGGTGGGTGGGTGGGTGAGTAAATGAGCGGGTGAGTGAGAAGCTGAGTGGGTGAGTGAATGGGTCAGTGGGTAGGTAAGTAGGCGATTTAATAAATGGGTGAGTACATGGCTAAGTAGGTGGCTGGATGAGTGGGCGAGTGGGTGAGTGTGTGGGTGGGTGAGTTGGTGAGTTGGTGAACGAGTGGTAGGGTTGCCACCTTCTCCGCCACACAACATTTACAAGCGCTTCTCAACCAGCACCAGCTCTGCTATTAACACCGTGCAGTTCACTGCGGTAAACTTGGCAACACCGGCACCAGAGATCTCTCGGCATCGCCATAGGAATGTGGAATTTCCACCACTGGCCCGTGCAGGAGGCTGCGGATGGGTTACGAGCGGCGATGCTCGCTCGAGAGAGCAGGAACTCACCGCGACTTGAAATAACAACCGGAGTAATAACGCAGTTAATAGGGGCGGCAATAACACAGCGCTAACATGGATGCTCGCGATAGTGTTATTAAAACCGGGCACAATCAGATCGAAGGCAGGAAATTAAAACCAGGAGGGGGATTGGGGGGGGGAGGGGGGGATGGCGTTGAGGGTTAACGTGACGATGAGACTGGGGGCTCAGCGGTAACGGAAGAGCCCTGATGCTATCGCTGTGTTGACACAGAGACAGAGAGAGATGGAAAATGACAGAGAGACAGAGAGAGAGAGACAGAGAGACACACAGAGACAGAGAGAGAGACAGAGACACACAGAGACAGAGAGACAGAGAGGGACACACAGAGACAGAGAGACAAAGAGAGAGACAAAGAGAGACACAGAGAGACAGAGAGAGACAAATGGACAGAGAGACAGAGAGACAGACAGAGAGAGACACACAGAGACAGAGTGAGACACAGAGCGAGACACAGAGAGCGAGTGTTGCTCTCTCGCTGCATTCAAGCGCCGCTGCGCTGCAACTGCAGCAACACCGGGCTGAGTGTGGATCTCCTGCGTGGCGTGGACGGCTGCTAGCGTGCCACGCGGGTCACCGGGGGGCGCGGTGCCCGCGTCGGGAATCCAGCCCAGGCCTCGAGTCCCCACGGGCGCATTGCCCTCTTCCTTCTTCTTCTTCTTCGTTGGGGGGGGGGGCGCGTTGTCCGACGTTTCGCGCCAGCCCGCCAGGAAGCCTCTTTCAGGACCGACACGTTTTGTTGACGGGTTGCTACACCGACGTGCGTGACGATTATCCTGAACCGGCCCTGCGCCTTCCCCTAGGTCGACTCGGCCTCAAACGAGCACCTGGTGCGGTGGCGTGTAAATACATCGCCAACTGGGGGAGACAAAGGCGGCTGGGCGCGGTGCCGGCCACCTCGTGCGTCGCATCCCCGGCCTGCGTAGGTGCTAGTCGATGACGGCACTTGCCCCAAGGGTCTGTGAACGCTATAGGTGGGAGGGGGATCTTTGTCTTTGGTACGTCGTGGCGGCTTGGAGAGGCCTTCATCCAGCAGTGGATCGACACAACTTAGCCTGGGCTGCATTGGGTTCCGCTGTGCGTGTGCACTGCAGTGTGAGTGTACACTGCAGTGTGAGTCTACACTGCAGTGTGCATGTGCACTGCAGGGCAGCGCGAGTGATGGACGTGGTGGGGCTTTTCCTTTTATCGTTTAAGCAGATCTGTCGGGATCTTCATTTAAACCAGATGACAGCCGATTGAGAGCAGAAGTCTCGCACGTCGGACGAGAGACCGGCGGATAAACAGACTCCTCGTAGACTGACGCAGAGACCCACAGACCAACAATGGAGACACAAACCCAAGCACAGAGACCCATAGACTTACATAGAGACCCATAGACTTACACAGTACCCAACAGACACACACACAGAGACCCAAAGACTAGCAGAGACACAGACAGGAGTGTAGAGACCCACAGACTAACACAGAGACATTTAGACTCACACAGAGACCTATAGACTAACACAGATCCATAGACTAGCATAGTCTATAGACCCATTCCTCTGCCCTTACGTGATAATTTATGTCCTATGGGGAAGGCCCATTGCCTGAAACGTCACCTGTTATATATTTGCCAAGGCCACACACACACACGGTGGTACTGACAAATGTTGCTCAGCGTGTAAGTTGTTGCCTGTGCAATGCAGCCAACGCAGCAGCGGCGGCGGCGGCAGCAGCATCACAAAAAGTCCACGCAGAAAGGCACCCGAGTCGGGAATGGAACCCGGGACCCTTTCGGCCGAGAGCCGTGGGGAGAGCCGTGGGGGAGAGCCGTGGGGGAGAGCCGTGGGGAGAGGCGTGGGGGAGAGGCATGGGTAGAGCCGCGGGGAGACCGCCACGGGGAGACCGCCACGGGGAGCCCGCCACGGGTAGACCACCACGGGAGACCGCCACGGGTAGACTGCCAGGGGGAGACTGCCACGGGGAGACCGCCACAGGGAGACCGCCACGGGGAGACTGCCACGGGGAGACTGCCACGGGGAGACTGCCACGGGGAGACCGCCACGGGGAGACTGCCACGGGGAGACCGCCACGTGGAGACTGCCACGAGGAGACCGCCACAGGGAGACCGCCATGGGGAGTCTGCCACGGGCGACTGCGTTGGGATGAGCCCAGTGGCAGCGCTCGAGTGTTCGTCTGCGTGGGGAGCGGAAGAGCTGCGAACCCGGCGGGCCCGAGTTCGATTCCCGCTCGTGGCCACCAGCAGCACAGATCACAGGAGAGCCCCTCCTGACGACCACTCCTGTCAACGACTCATCGCCTGATTAACCTTGTTCATTTTAATGTGATGTGTTTATAATGTTCTTAGTATCTTTATGCGTCAATATCCATTGTTTACATAGTACGCTTTGTGGGTGATAAATGGTGACTTTTGATACCACCGCAACAAATTAAGCCTTTAACGTGGACTTCCTGAACTCGCTTCACGACCAAATCACTGAGCGACGCTTTGGTGGCACCGATTACCGCCGTCGGTGAGAGGGGAGCGGGGGCTTGCGCGTGGGATCTCGACCGGTTCCGCCCCCCCCCCCCCCCGTGCGCCGTGCTGGCCTCAGCAGGCGCCACTCACTCACGAGCACTTGCCCCGACGGCCTGCGAGCGCCGTGCGGGGGACCTTTGCGTGCGCTCGTCGTTGGTGCGGAGAGCGGCGCGCGCCAGCCAGGGGGGGGCCCACAACACCCAACGCAGCGGCACGAGCCACGGCCCCAAACCTCACCCACGTCCCTTTGGCATCACGAGGAGGGGAGTGTGGGGGGGCGCAACGATGCCAACCCCAGCTGCAATCGCTGATCAAATGCTCGCTTGAAACTTTCATTTGTTGTATCGACGTGTGTGTCTGTGTGTCTGTGTGTGTCTGTGTATCTGTGTGTGTGTCTGTGTGTCTGTGTGCGTCTGCGTATCTGTGTGTCTGTGTGTGTGTCTGCGTGTGTCTGTGTGTATGTGTCTGTGTGTGTCTGTGTGTCTGTGTGTGTATGTGTGTCTGTGTGTGTCTGCGTGTGTGTCTGCGTGTGTCTGTGTGTATGTGTCTGTGTGTGTCTGTGTGTCTGTGTGTGTATGTGTGTCTGTGTGTGTCTGCGTATCTGTGTGTCTGCGTGTCTGTGTGTCTGCGCGTCTGTGTGTGTATGTGTGTCTGTGTGTGTCTGTGTGTGTGTGTCTGTGTGTCTGTGTGTGTCTGTGTGTGTATGTGTGTCTGTGTGTATGTGTCTGTGTGTGTCTGTGTGTCTGTGTGTGTATGTGTGTCTGTGTGTGTCTGCGTGTGTGTCTGCGTGTGTCTGTGTGTATGTGTCTGTGTGTGTCTGTGTGTCTGTGTGTGTATGTGTGTCTGTGTGTGTCTGCGTATCTGTGTGTCTGCGTGTCTGTGTGTCTGCGCGTCTGTGTGTGTATGTGTGTCTGTGTGTGTCTGTGTGTGTGTGTCTGTGTGTCTGTGTGTGTCTGTGTGTGTATGTGTGTCTGTGTGTGTCTGTGTATCTGTGTGTCTGTGTATCTGCGTGACGTGCGAATTTGGAACTTCTTTCGCACCGCACGTCGCCAACGCACGCAAGCCACACACAGCAGCAGTGCAACAGCAGCACCAGCAGCAGTAGTAGCAGCAGCACCAGTAGCAGCACCAGCAACAGTAGCAGCAGTAGCAGCACCAGCAGCAGTAGCAGCAGTAGCAGCACCAGCAGCAGTAGCAGCAGCAGTAGCAGCAGCAGTAGTAGCACCAGCAGCAGTAGCAGCACCAGCAGCAGTAGCAGCACCAGCAGCAGCAGCAGTAACAGCACCAGCAGCAGTAGCAGCACCAGCACCAGTAGCAGCAGTAGCAGCACCAGCAGCAGTAGCAGTACCAGCAGCAGTAGCAGCACCAGCACCAGTAGCAGCAGTAGCAGCACCAGCAGCAGTAGCAGCAGTAGCAGCACCAGCAGCAGTAGCAGCAGCAGTAGTAGCACCAGCAGCAGTAGCAGTACCAGTAGCAGCAGCAACAGCAGTAGCAACAGGACCGTCCCACCACAACTAGGCAGGGCTCTCCTGGAGAATAAATTAATTAATTAGTCGGGTCAACCGCCTGGCTGGTCGCCTGTGGTTTGCATCGCCGGAGCCCGGATTTGAACCCAGGCCTCTACAGCGGCGCCCGCTCAGGGTGTGACCCCCCCCACCCCCCGGGCCACTCGGCCATGACGACGCCTATCGCTGCCTCTCGGCCACTAATGGCTTAGGGAGACATCGGCCACTAATGGCTTAGGGAAACATCGGCCGCTGCGCTAATTGCTGACACGCACGCCGGCGCGCATTAGCCACGCGCACATTCCCACAGCCCTCGCTTCACCAGCCCTGCACGGCTCGAACGGCATGGGAGACAGCCGGTCCCATGTGGCTGTGAGACTGTGAGACTGAGTGACTGAGTGACTGAGTGACTGTGTGACTGAGTGACTGTGTGACTGAGTGACTGAGTGACTGTGTGACTGTGTGACTGTGTGACTGTGTGACTGAGTGACTGTGAGACTGTGATACTGTGTGACTGAGTGACTGTGTGGCTGTGAGACTGTGACTGAGTGCCTGTGTGGCTGTGAGACTGTGTGACTGAGTGCCTGTGTGGCTGTGAGACTGTGATACTGTGTGACTGAGTGACTGTGTGACTGAGTGACTGTGAGACTGTGAGACTGTAAGACTGTGTGACTGAGTGCCTGTGTGACTGAGTGACTGTGAGACTGTGTGACTGAGTGACTGTGTGGCTGTGAGACTGTGAGACTGTGTGACTGAGTGACTGTGTGACTGAGTGACTGTGAGACTGTGTGACTGAGTGACTGTGTGGCTGTGAGACTGTGAGACTGTGTGACTGAGTGACTGTGAGACTGAGTGACTGTGAGACTGTGAGACTGTGAGACTGTGTGACTGAGTGACTGTGAGACTGTGTGACTGAGTGACTGTGTGGCTGTGAGACTGTGAGACTGTGTGACTGAGTGACTGTGTGACTGAGTGACTGTGAGACTGTGAGACTGTGAGACTGTGTGACTGAGTGACTGTGAGACTGTGTGACTGAGTGACTGTGTGGCTGTGAGACTGTGAGACTGTGTGACTGAGTGACTGTGTGACTGAGTGACTGTGAGACTGTGAGACTGTGAGACTGTGTGACTGAGTGCCTGTGTGGCTGTGAGACTGTGAGACTGTGTGACTGAGTGACTGTGTGGCTGTGTGGCTGTGAGACTGTGACTGTGTGACTGAGTGCCTGTGTGGCTGTGAGACTGTGTGACTGAGTGCCTGTGTGGCTGTGAGACTGTGAGATTGTGTGACTGAGTGCCTGTGTGGCTGTGAGACTGTGTGACTGAGTGACTGTGTGGCTGTGTGGCTGTGAGACTGTGTGACTGAGTGACTGTGTGGCTGTGAGACTGTGAGACTGTGTGACTGAGTGACTGTGTGGCTGTGAGACTGTGAGACTGTGTGACTGAGTGACTGTGTGACTGAGTGACTGTAAGACTGTGAGACTGTGAGACTGTGTGACTGAGTGCCTGTGTGACTGAGTGACTGTGTGACTGAGTGACTGTAAGACTGTGAGACTGTGTGGCTGTGAGACTGTGAGACTGTGTGACTGAGTGACTGTGTGACTGAGTGACTGTAAGACTGTGAGACTGTGAGACTGTGTGACTGAGTGCCTGTGTGGCTGTGAGACTGTGACTGTGTGACTGAGTGCCTGTGTGGCTGTGAGACTGTGACTGTGTGACTGAGTGACTGTGTGGCTGTGAGACTGTGAGACTGTGTGACTGTGTGACTGTGAGACTGTGTGGCTGTGAGACTGTGTGACAGCCGGTCCCGTGTGACTGTGGACTGACTCCCCGTGTGACTGTGGACTGACCCTGAAGCCTGTCATATTTGGACTTTGCGTGTCTCTCTCTTTCGCCCCTCCACATGTAGAATGACCGTCACACGTGTAGGATGACCGTCACGCGTGTAGGATGACCGTCACGTGCGTAGAATGACCGTCACACGCGTGTAGAATGACTGTCGCGTGTCTAAGGCAGCGGTTTGGCTGCCGCTAAACATTTCCACCACGACGAGGAGGACGAGGAGCCCCACCTCGTTGGGCCATCACTTGTGGCCAGGGTCCGCTTCCGCTTCCGCAAAGAAAAAACAGCTACACAGCCGCTCACTGGGGGCCTTACTCCTGGTAAAAAGATAGTTATTTAAAGTAATAAATTACTTTTAAAAGTAACAAGTTACTTTTAAATGTATTATATTACTTTCAAAAGTAATACATTACTTTTAAAATAATTTTTTTTAAATCCCATTTTTTTTAAAGATTAGTAAATGAAATAAAATGATTAAAACTATACATATTTTTCAAAAGTTATATATATATTACTTTTAAAAGTAACACATTTTTATATTTATGAATAAAAGTCAGATTAACATGTTGCAGGCTTTCGCGACCAATATTAATCATAACAAAGGTGTGTGGGTGTTCGATTTAAATGCCGTAACGTCGCGTGATGAACCTCACTGGCTCTGTCGGGGGTGGTGGAGGGTTACGACACAACATTCACACTCTACGCGATCTAACCCAACAAAAACCTTAATTACGAATAAATAAAAGTGTTAACCAATATAGTAAATGCATTTTTACAAGAAATAAATGGGGGGGGGGGGGTGCTCCACCTCTGTGCGGGGGCACCAGCAGGTCCAGCGTCTTGTGGGAGATGTTGGGCCAGATGGCCATCATCTCCCGGCGCAGCTCGCTGTCGCACTCGAACTTGTCCGCACCACCTGCGGGGGAAGGGGGGGGCGAGAGAGAGAGGGGGGGGGGCGAGAGTTTAGAGGTCAGCGGCAGGTTCCCCGCTCCGTCGCGCAGGTGTCTGTGTGTATGTGTGTCTGTGTGTGTGTGTTTCTGTGTGTCTGTGTGTGTCTGTGTGTGTTTCTGTGTGTCTGTGTGTGTGTGTTTCTGTGTGTCTGTGTGTGTGTCTGTGTGTGTTTCTGTGTGTTTCTGTGTGTCTGTGTGTGTCTGTGTGTGTGTCTGTGTGTGTTTCTGTGTGTCTGTGTGTGTCTGTGTGTGTCTGTGTGTGTGTGTGTGCCCACCCTTGGCGATCTTGATGTCCAGGGCGGTGCGGATGAGCGCCATGAGCGTGGTGGTGAAGTGCACGGTGCGATCTTCCGCGATCGGCATGTCCATCCGCACCAGGCGCTAGCGGGGAGCACGCAGGCACAACATCAACAATAGGAGCAGCAACAATACCAACAGCAGCAGCATCAACAACATCAAACACGAGCAACAACTACGGCAGCAACAACAACATCAACAACTACAGCAGCAGCAACATCAACAACTTGGGCAGCAGCAACATCAACAGCAGCAGCAACAACATCAACAACTACAGCAGCAGCAACATCAACAGCAGCAGCATCAACAACATCAAACACGAGCAACAACTATGGCAGCAACAACAATATCAACAACTACAGCAACAGCAACATCAACAGCAGCAGCAACAACAACATCAACAACTACAGCAGTAACAAAATGAACTACAGCAATAACAACAACAGGAGCCACATCAACAGCAATTCAACAACACGAACAACTACGGCAACAACTACGGCAACAACAATATCAACAGCAGCAGCAACAACAGGAGCCACAACAACAATTACAGCAGCAACAACGATATCAACAGCAACATCTACAGCAAAATACAACAGCCGCAACAACATCAACAAGTGTCAACATCAGCAACAACAATAACAGGCAGACGAGGGAGCAGCAGCAAACATTCATGTCAACATCACCGATGACAAAGCATCAACAACATCAACATCGACATGATATCACAGTGACAATGACAACACCATCATACCATGGCTACAACATGACAATACAACAGCAGCAGCCAGACTGACCATGTCACAACCCCAACAGCCAAGACGTCAACAATAACACAACAGACACACCAACACACTATGTCAACAATAACAGCACGACAATACAAGAACACGGCAATCGAACAACGAGAACACATAACCTACGGCAAGACGCACAGATGGCATGCGATTGGTCTGGGTGAGATCACCGCGTGGGTAACGATGCCCATTGTTTTACGATGGACCTCCACCACCCAGCGGCAGACAGATCAACAATTCGCGTATCGCCGGAGATTGCATCCTGCATCATCATCATCATCAGCAGCATCATCATCAGCACTAGCAGCTCTTGCTGATTCCGGCATCATCATCATCAGCAGCTGCTGCTGCTGATGTCTTTTGTGTGTTTCGTATTGCCCCCCCCCCCACACTCCGATTAGCACGGTGGGCTACGCACGGTGCGATAGTAGAGTCAGCATTGTTAATTATAGACACTGTTAGTCTAATTATAAGTAGACGTCGTTAGTCTACTTATAAGTAGACGAAGCGAGCGCAGAAGCGATGTTGTTGAAGCGTGGCTGTGAGACGGCGCAGACCAACAGCGCCACCCACCACCCTTGCAGACTTGCAGCATCTGACCAGGTCACGGATGGGGGGGGGGGATCATTGTGGGGGACGTGGAGGGTGATGTGGTGGTGGTGGTGGTGTAAGTGGAGGGTGATGTGGTGTAAGTGGAGGGTGATGTGGTGGTGGTGGTGTAAGTGGTGGGTGATGTGGTGGTGGAGGGTGATGTGGTGGTGGTGGAGGGTGATGGTGGAGGGTGATGTGGTGGTGGTGGAGGGTGATGTGGTGGTGTAAGTGGAGGGTGATGTGGTGGTGGTGGTGTAAGTGGAGGGTGATGTGGTGGTGGAGGGTAATGGTGGAGGGTGATGTGGTGGTGGAGGGTGATGTGGTGGTGGTGTAAGTGGAGGGTGATGTGGTGGTGGTGGAGGGTGATGGTGGAGGGTGATGTGGTGGTGGTGTAAATGGAGGGTTCCTTACAGACCTTGTACGCCACCCGTACGGGACATTTTTTCCCGAGTCCCAGCGGGGGTGACATGTGCTTGAGCAGCTCGTACATTTTCGTGTACGTTATGCGTCCTCTGCGTAAACCATCATCGCGTTCCAAAAATATATATAAAAATAATGTAGAAACAAAAATAATCATAGTGATAGAATAATCATAGTGATAGAATAATCATAGTGATAGAATAATAGTGATATAATAACAGAATAATAATAGAATAATAAGAGAATAATAATTGGCGGCGACGGTGATTAGAATCCAATCGACCGGGCGGGTTCTTTGCAAACGGAAATAAAATCGTCTAACGCAACGATGGTGGTGGGGTGGTGGGGGTAGCGTCGATTTTGACAAATGTACGATTTGTATTTGTAATTAAATTGATCAATTGAAGAGAGGATTCGTGGACGTGGCGATATTCTCGGCGATTGTAACGAAATAATGTGGAAATAAAAAATAAATAAGACCATGGGACAAGATAGCGAATTACATTTTGTTTTAGTTTTATCGGTTATTTATTTGAGATTGAGGGGTAATGAGTTGAGTCAAAGTCACGGTTTTACGGTAACAAAGTTAGTCAGATTGTAAAAATAAAGAAAACACGATCCCGCTTGACCGAATTCATCGTAACGGTAACGATTATTTGAAATCGCGGAATATATGATAGTCGTAGTAACATGTTACAATTGTTTTTTTTTATTGGGGTGGATTAAATAGCGTTGTGGAAAAACGATAGCGGCCAACAGGTAACAAAAGATCGGTGTCATTTAAAATATCGAAATAATAACGACATGGACAGGATCGTACCAGGAGCGGTTGGCAAGAAATGAAGAAGGGTGGAATGTTTTTGGGGGTTTTCCGATTGTGCGATGGAAGAAGAGGGGACAGACAAGACCAGAGAGACAGAGACGTGAGACGTGGTGGGGAGGAGAGAGACAGAGAGACAGACAGAGAGACATACAGAGAGAGACACAGAGATAGAGAGGGAGACAGAGGGAGACAGAGGGAGAGGGAGAGAGAAACCCATGGACCTTACAACAACAACAAAATGTGTAACAATATAAACAAACAATGTAACAAAACGATAATGGTCACGGCGTCTAAACAAGAAATAAAAAACGGAAGCACAATGAACATAACATAATAAAATAACGTAATAAAAGATGAATTTAATGAGACGGACGTAATAAGTCAGGAACATAACGAGACACGAGTGGGACGTGGGAGAGAAGAGGGCACACAGCATGTTAGCGACACGCGGCGGCACTTTGACAAAAGGCGAAGGCGCAGCAATTGATCTCTATTTGCTTGGCCTACTCCTCCACGCCGAGAGAGACAGTCTTGGAAGAGGCGGGAGGAGTACCCACCACACTCTATCCCAACGCCACACGCGCCTTGCCCATCGCGGACAGGCTGACTGACATTCTGACCGATTGTCTTTCTCACTGACTGACTTTCTCACCAATTGTCTTTCTCACTGACTGACAGACTGAATGACTCACTTTCTCACATAGAGACCCACAGACTCACACAGTACACAGAGAGAGAGAGCCATAGTACTGGACTCAAATAGAGACCCAACGACTTCCAACAGAGTCCCGTAGACTTAGCAGCACTGCCCTCGTGTGTCAATCCGCGGGTCGCAGGGGTCATCTGACCATACTTCACCGCGCTGCTCATTGCGGGTTTGTGGATTACACGAAGCGCGGACGGGAGAGTGTCAGGCGACAGGATTTTGCGCGGCACTGCCCTCTGCTGACCATTGCATAGCACCGCAGGCCGTGCGGAATATAAAACTAGAAAGGAGATGCTATTTATTTGACAGGTTCAAGGCCCACCACTGAGTAATGTATCTCTGTTGTCAGAAGCGAGCTGGCCATCGCAAGCGATAGCTCAACGTAGTGGCTCGCCACCATCGTCATCATCACGTGGACATTCATAGCGGCAGCCACATCCCTCTCAACACGTGGTGACGTTGATTCTGAAAGTGGCGAGGGGAAAAACCGGAGGCCCCGGAGAAAAATCCACGCGACCACGGGGAGAGAGAGACACGTAGACTCCAAATATACAGCAGCAGGCGTCAGGGTCAGGGGTCGGGATCGAACCCACGACCTCCTGCATACCAGGCGAGGTAGTTAACATCTCGTAGGTATAATAAAAAAATAATCAGTGAATGTAAAAAAAGGGAAAAAACCGATGATGCCAGCGAGGGAGGGAGGGGGTGGGCAGGGCAGCAGGTTCAGCGGCGGTGGCGGGCGGAGAGGCTGGGACGGTGAGGAGGGAGACGGAATGGGAATGGTGCGGACTCGCTCGTGGGCCCTGCTCGAGCGCTTGTGCCGCTCCGCCATCACAGCCACCGCCGTCGTCACCACCATCAGCCACGCTCTCTCTGCTGCTAGATGAAGGCCTCCCCCCTTCCCATATCCGAGCTGTCCGCTGTCATCGCTCGCGGCCCTTGGCGACGATCCCTTGGGCGGAGGTTCGGGGCGTGAATGCGGTGGGCCGCCCCGGTTATCGCTGCGTCAAAGAGCCCCTGGTGGCGTCACCGTGCGTGGCGCTGGCCCGTGCTCCACATTCTGGCGGATGTGGAAGCCCATGCCGCAAGTTTCTCATTGTGGATTGACACCTTGCGACGATCAATCATCGCCCCCCCCCTCCACCTCCTGCCCAGACTATTACACAGGGACAGCTGCCACTGGGGGTGCCCCTAGGTGAGACGACACAGCAGCAATCACCGCCACCACCACCACCACGCCTCCCATGCTGCGAGACCACCGCAGGCTGCGTCTGTTGCTCCAGGAATTTAAAGCGCCCAGAGCACGTGGACTAATTATAATAATGAAAGTTACAATGATAGGTACCATAGGTATACTCAATATAACCTAAGCCAAACTACGGACCGTAGTTTGGCTTCAACGAAGAAGGAGGAGGAACAGCGACACGAACTCTCTCTGCTGAACCCCTTAGACGTGGCTGGAGGAAGTAGCAGCTGCAGCAGCAGTAGCAGCAGTAGCAGCAGCTGTAGCAGCAGCAGTAGCAGCAGCAGTAGCAGCAGCTGTAGCAGCAGTAGCAGCAGCTGTAGCAGCAGCAGTAGTAGCTGCAGCAGCAGCAGTAGTAGCAGCAGCAGCTGCAGCAGCAGCAGTAGCAGCAGTAGCAGCTGCAGCAGCTGCTGCTGCTACTGCTGCTGCTGCTGCAGGACCTCCACATTGGCATCGAGCTCCTGACCATCGCTGCTGCTAGCATCACGTGCAGGAACAGCAAAGAATCGTTACGACGATTGTAACGCTGCTGATGACAACGCTGCTGATGACGCCCCTCATGATGCTGCTGCTGCTGATGCTGACGGTGAAGGTGCAGCAGACACGGACGACGATGGCGGCTGGCCAGAGTAAGCCCCCCCCCCCCACCCCTCTCGTAGTCTGCACCTTGTAGGCCACGCGCTGTGGGCACCGCTTGCCCAGCCCCAGCGGAGGCGAGATCACCCTCAGCATGTAGTAGAGGTCCCAGAACTGGATACGCCCGCTAGCAGCCATCGTCCGCAGCGGTGAGGTGGGGTGGGTGGGGTCGGGGCAGCAGGCAATGGCAGGGGTGAGGGGTGAGAGGGGTGAGTGGGGTGAGGAGGGGTGAGGGGGGCGAGGGGGCGTGAGGGAAAGAGGGGTGGAGAGGGGTGAGGTGAGAGAGGGTGAGGGGAGAGAGGGTGAGGATGGCACGGTAGTGGGGGGTTAGCGTCTGGAGGGGGTGGGGGGGAGGCATCGGAGCGCTGCTCCAGCGAGGTTCGACCGTTGCGACATCCCCAGCACTCCGGGACCCGGTCAGCGCCACCGCCGTGTCGCTGGCGGCGTCACCGGAGAGCGCCGCTCCGTGCCGGGGCCGTGCCGCGGTGCCGTGCCGCGGTGCCAACGGCAGCGGCGGTAATCACCCCACACATCCACTTCCTATCAAGGCGCCTCCCGAAAGTTTCTATTTTCATTGATATTAACCGGAAAATAAACACACTGAATGTGTAATCTTGACTTTAAGCTTTCGTGACTGCAGGAATTCATACTCTTTGGGTCTTTCGGTAAAGTCACGATGTTTCGATTGCAACACGAGCAATCGTCCTCAGGTGAATAAATAAAAATAAATAATAAATAATTGCACCTGAGGACGATTGCTATTATTAAATCTTTTATATTAAGTTCACTTGCTCGCTTGCTTGCGCGCTTACGACCGTGTAAATCTTTCGGTCGTTTTTTAACCCACTTCCCGTGATCCAATCGAGCTGACATTTTAAACATAGACTCGTTGTGCGTGACAATTTATTTTCCTGAAATTATTTTTTCCAAAATTTTACACTTTTTAGGAAAAAATAAATTATATTTAATTACCAATTGCTTAATGGTGGCAGGCAATCATCTGACCCATAGGTGGCAGCCATCTCAAGCCAGAGGACGAGAGGACTCTAGCCGCCACGCATATAAAGGATTTATAGTGAAAAACTTTGTTTTTACGGGTTAATTTTTTTTCTATCTAGGTGACTTTACCGAAAGACCCAAAGAGTAACATTGAACGGGTGTATTTTTCAAAGTGAATAAATCTAGTGCTCTATTTTAAAAGTTTGATGTCTCGGGACGGGCAGTGCTCACGGCCACGTGGTGTTTAGCTTTTAGCGCCGATGGTCCGTCGCGACGTTTCACCCGTCGCTGCGCCAAGCCTCTGCGAGGACGCAGCTCTCGGAAGTGGGAAATAAATAAATAAGTCTCCATCACAAATCTGCCCAGATCTTTCCGACGGCCTTGTAGAAACCCGCGCAGCGGATATACAACGAGGACAAGTGAACGCAATCGGCGACTTGGTTAAAAACAAGGAGACCTTTCCCCGTGGTTAAATCTTCGCCGGCGCCATCCACGGAGCGGATGGCGCTGGGGGGCACCGCCCCCCCGCTGGCGTTGGGGTCGGGCAAAGGGATTTCTAGCCGTGCGGCATCAGCGGCGTTCACCCGGGGAGCCGTGGGGCTTGCTGTGGCGCTGACGGCCGCTTAAAACCGGAGCAGCGCCTCTCGCAGGAAGGGGGGGGGCGGGGGGGGGATGGCGGTAAACAAACAAAAAGATGGCAACAGCAACACAACAAGGTTCGGTGAAGTGTGGCGAGTGACGTTGCAAGCGGCAGGATTTGGGTCCGCGCCGGGAATGGATTCTATCATGAATAATAATTTACTAAAATGTCATCGTTTGAAAGTTTCATGTTTACTGTTTCACGGGGCCTTGTTTTTACCGTTTTTCCTTCCGTCTCCCCATTTCACCCAGAGGAGTTGAGCACATCTTAGCGATGTGAAAAATGAGGAAGCGAATGTCGAGCGGTGATCGTGCTGCCACCGGGGTCGCGACGTCGTCGTGACGCGAAGAAGAATCCTTTCGGAAATCCCCCCTCCTCCTCCCCCCTCCTCCTCCTCCCCTCTCCTCCTCCTCCCCCCTCCTCCTCCTCCCCCCTCCTCCTCCTCCCCCCTCCTCCTCCTCCTCCCCCTCCTCCTCCTCCTCCCCCCTCCTCCTCCTCCTCCCCCCTGCTCCTCCTCCTCCTCCCCCCTCCTCCTCCTCCTCCCCCCTCCTCCTCCTCCTCCTACCCCCTCCTCCTCCTCCTCCTACCCCCTCCTCCTCCTCCTACCCCCTCCTCCTCCTCCTACCCCCCTCCTCCTCCTCCTCCCCCCTCCTCCTCCTCCTCCCCCCTCCTCCTCCTCCCCCCTCCTCCTCCTACCCCCTCCTCCTCCTCCTACCCCCTCCTCCTCCTCCTACCCCCCTCCTCCTCCTCCTACCCCCTCCTCCTCCTCCTCCCCCCTCCTCCTCCTCCTCCCCCCTCCTCCTCCTACCCCCTCCTCCTCCTCCTCCTCCTCCCCCCTCCTCCTCCTCCCCCCTCCTCCTCCTACCCCCTCCTCCTCCTCCTACCCCCTCCTCCTCCTCCTACCCCCTCCTCCTCCTACCCCCTCCTCCTCCTCCTACCCCCTCCTCCTCCTCCTACCCCCCTCCTCCTCCTCCTACCCCCCTCCTCCTCCTCCTCCCCCCTCCTCCTCCTCCTCCCCCCTCCTCCTCCTCCCCCCTCCTCCTCCTACCCCCTCCTCCTCCTCCTACCCCCTCCTCCTCCTCCTACCCCCCTCCTCCTCCTACCCCCTCCTCCTCCTCCTCCCCCCTCCTCCTCCTCCTCCTCCTCCCCTCTCCTCCTCCTCCTCCCCCCTCCTCCTCCTCCCCCCTCCTCCTCCTCCTCCCCCTCCCCCCTCCTTCTCCTCCTCCTCCCCCCTCCTCCTCCTCCTCCCCCCTCCTCCTCCTCCTCCCCCCTCCTCCTCCCCCCTCCTCCTCCTCCCCCTCCCCCCTCCTCCTCCTCCCCCCTCCTCCTCCTCCCCCTCCTCCTCCTCCTCCTCCCCCCCTCCTCATCCCCCCCCTCCTCCTCGTCATTAGAGAGCGACCCCGCAGAAGCGGATATTACAGAGCTACCACTGAGATGCCGACTTCTTCAAGTGACACTGGACATCCGTGAAAAGGAGCTCTCGTATCTCATTGGATGCCTCCCAGCATAAACAAATATTGTGATTCTGACCCTCTGGCTCACACAGAAGGGCCCACGGAAGCGGATATCACAGAGCTACCGCCGAGAGCCCCGACTTCGCCAAGTGATTTGTAGTCCACGGTAACATCTGGGCATCTGTGAGAAAGAGCTTTCTAGGGCATCAGATTCCTCCAGTACAAAAATTCAGATTGTAATCTGCTACAGATGAGGTTATACTGTCACCTATCTCTGTCTCTCTCTCTCGGCCTGGCTATACATCCATCCAAGGGTCTGGCTGTCTATCCATCCGCTTATACTATTGTCGATCTGTTGAACTGTCCATCTTGTCTGACTGGCGTGCCTCTAACATCGGTCTGTACAGTAAATATGTGCGTGTGTCTGTCTCCTGCTGGGTCAGTCAGTCAGTCTCTTTGTGTGTCCAGCAGTGCGTCCGTCTCTCGCCCTGCGTGTCTGCGATGTCCCGTTAGTGGGGGGCTCTGTGCGGTCCTCTGGGATGCGTCATTAGTGGGGGGCTCTGTGTGGTCCTCTGGGTTGTGCCATTGGTGGGGGGCTCTGTGCGGTCCTCTGGGATGTGTCATTAGTGGGGGGCTCTGTGCGGTCCTCTGGGATGTGTCATTAGTGGGGGGCTCTGTGCGGTCCTCTGGGTTGTGTCATTAGTGGGGGGCTCTGTGCGGTCCTCTGGGATGTGTCATTAGTGGGGGGCTCTGTGCGGTCCTCTGGGTTGCGTCATTAGTGGGGGGCTCTGCGGGCTCTACTCACGTAGCCGCGGGGTCGTACTCCCCCCAAATCCTCACAAACTCGTCCAGGTGGTGCGGGCCCAGGATGGAGGAATCTCGTGTCAAGTACTCAAAGTTGTCCATGATGACCGCCACGAAGAGATTCAGCATCTGGTGACGGGACACACGGGGACGGGACACGGGGAGACGGGACACACGGATACGGGACACACAGAGATGGGACACACAGAGACAGGACACATAGACGGGACACATAGGGACGGGACACATGGGGACAAGGGGACATGGGGACGGAGTCAATTAATGCCCCAGCAGGTTCGAGTGTCAAGGTGATTTTGCCGAGCCAAGGTGAGCAGTCAGGAGGACCGGGATGGCAGTCTCACTCGTAAGAGGGACCTGGGCGAGTCGGTGGGTTAGAAAGTAGGTGAGTGGGTGAGTGGGTGAGTGGGTGAGTGGGTGAGTGAGTGAGTGGGTGAGTGAGTGAGTGAGTGGGCGAGTAAGTGGGTAGATGAGTGGGTAAGTGATTTGGAGAGTGGGCGAGTGAGTTGGTCAGTTGGTAGATGAGTGGGTAAGTGATTTGGTGAGTGAGTTGGTGAGTGGGTGAGTTCCAGTTGATTTTGTGTAATGGTGTCAGATCTCAAGAGACCAGGATGAATCTCATTCGTCCAGGGGTCATGGGGTCATGGGGTCTGGGGTCATGGGGTCTGTTGCTGCTACTACACCACAGGTCCAACCTCCTCCATGGCACCACCACCACCACCACCACCTCCCCCCCACCACCACCACCACCCGTGTTAGTGACCCCAGAACAACACCCAACGGCCAAACAGCAACACTACTACTGCTACTACTGATGCTGCTACTAGTACTGCTGTTACTACTGCTACTGCTGCTACTACTGATGCTGCTACTACTGATGCTGCTACTACTGATGCTGCTACTACTACTGCTGTTACTACTGCTACTACTACTGCTGCTGCTGTTGCTGCTGGTGCAAGTGACGCACCAGGAAGGAGCAGAGGAAGATGAAGGAGACGAAGTAGAAGTAGGCGAAGTCGCTGCCACAGTCCTTCTCGAAGATGTCCGTGCCCTTGGCGCACTCGCGCCCACTCAGGCACGCCAGCATGATCTCGTGCCACGCCTCGCCCGTCGCGCTCCTGCACACGCAACACACACGCCACACGCACCGCACATGCCACACGCACACGCCACACGGCACACGCAACGCACACGCCACACGCAACGCACACGCCACACGCACCGCACACGCCACACACACACGCACACGCCACACGCACACGTCACACACACACGTCACACACACACGCCACACACACACGCCACACGCACCGCACACATGCCACACGCACCGCACACGCCACACACAACACACACACCACACACGCACCGCACATGCCACACGCACCGCACACACACCACACGCACCGCACACACACCACACGCACCACACACACCGCACACGCCACACGCACCGCACACGCCACACGCACCGCACCACACCACACGCACCGCACACACCACGCACCGCACACACACCACACGCACCGCACACACCACACACACACGCCACACGCACCGCACACGCCACACACACACACCACACGCACCGCACACACACCACACGCACCGCACACACACCACACGCACCGCACACACCACACACACACACCACACACACCACACGCACCGCACACGCCACACACACACACCACACGCACCGCACACACCACACACACACACCACACGCACCGCACACGCCACACACACACACCACACGCACCGCACACACGCCACACGCACACGCCACACGGCACACGCAACGCACACGCCACACGCACCGCACACGCCACACACACACGCACACGCCACACGCACACGCACACGTCACACACACACGCCACACGCATCGCACACACACCACACCGCACACACCACACACACCACACGCACCGCACACGCCACACACACACGCCACACGCACCGCACACGCCACACGCACCGCACACACCACACACACCGCACACACCACACACGCCACACGCGTTAGCATCCGTCACGCCAGTGAGGTGGCGGCCTGTCTGTTTTGCGGCGCTGGCGGCGATGCTGTGATTCAGCACCATTGTGGAGGCAGTGGCCAGGGTTGGTGGATCGCCACACAGATGTCGCCAAGCTCACTCCCTACCCGTGGGTGGGTTATCACGGTGCGCACCGTGACAAGTCTGTTTCTGATTGCAAGCTATCATCAAGTCTGCATAAACCACACGTGCTTGTGGCAAAACATGCAACAAACACTCGTGTCTCTGACGATGACAGTAGAAGTGTTACGCGTCGTCTCTGAAACTGATTGGGCTACACCGGAGGTCCAGCCTCCTCCATGGCACCACCACCACCACCACCTCCCCCCCACCACCACCACCTCCCCCCCACCACCACCACCACCCGTGTTAGTGACCGCAGAACAACGCCCAACGGCCAAACAGCAACAGAGGCCAATGCCAGCATCACAAAGCATATGACGTTCACATGACGTTCACATGACATTCACATAACGTTCACATGACATTCACATGACGTTTACATGACGTTTACTTGGCATTCAAATTACGTTCATATGTCGTTCATATGACGTTCACATGCATTCACATGACATTCACATGACGTTCACTTGCCATTCAAATTACGTTCATATGACGTTCATATGACGTTCACATGCATTCACATGCCATTCACATGACGTTCACATGCATTCACATGCCATTCACATGACGTTCACTTGGCATTCAAATTATGTTCACATGACGTTCACATGACGTTCACAAGCGGGGCACCTGAAGAGCAACATGAGTGCCTGGAAGAAGTTCTGGAAGTTGTTGTGCTCCTTGATGGCCGTGTCGTCATTCAGCTTGATGTTACCAAACACCTGGGGTAGGGTGACGGGTGGGGGTGAGGGGTGAGAGGTGAGGGGGTGAGAGGTGAGAGGTGAGGGGGTGAGGGGTGAGGGGTGAGAGGTGAGGGGGTGAGAGGTGAGGGATGAGAGGTGAGGGGTGAGTGGTGAGAGGTGAGAGTCTACTGTGTGTGTGTGCGGTGTGTGTGTGTGTGAGTCTACGGTGTGTGTGTGAGTCTACGGTGTGTGTGTGTGTGAGTCTATGGTGTGTGTGTGAGTCAATGGTGTGTGTGTGTGTGAGTCTATGGTGTGTGTGTGTGTGAGTCTATGGTGTGTGTGTGTGTGAGTCTATGGTGTGTGTGTGTGTGTGAGTCTATGGTGTGTGTGTGTGTGTGAGTCTACGGTGTGTGTGTGTGTGTGTGAGTCTACGATGTGTGTGTGTGAGTCTACTGTGTGTGTGCAGTGTGTGTGTGCAGTGTGTGTGTGTGTGCGGTGTGTGTGTGTGTGAGAGTCTACGGTGTGTGTGAGTCTATGGCGTGTGTGTGTGAGTCTAAGGTGTGTGTGTGTGAGTCTACGGTGTGTGTGTGTGAGTCTACGGTGTGTGTGAGTCTATGGTGTGTGTGTGTGAGTCTACGGCGTGTGTGTGTGTGAGTCTACGGCGTGTGTGTGTGTGTGAGTCTACGGCGTGTGTGTGTGTGAGAGTCTACGGCGTGTGTGTGTGTGAGAGTCTACGGCGTGTGTGTGTGTGTGAGTCTACGACGTGTGTGTGTGTGTGTGAGTCTACGGCGTGTGTGTGTGCGGTGCCGACCTGCATGCCGATGATGGCGTAGATGAAGAAGAGCATCGCGATGAGGAGGCACACGTAGGGCAGGGCCTGGGGACGCACGGCACGACGCGGGCACGTGGGCGCACAGTCGGCGCAAGGACACGCACGACGCGCACAGCGCTCCTCGGACAGACCGCGCTCGGACAGACCACGCTCGGACACCGCACTCACTTGGACACTGAACTCACTGAGACACTGAACTCACTCAGATACCACACTCACTGGGACACGGCACTCGGACACCACACTCACTCAGACACCACACTCACTGGGACACCGCAGTCAGATACCACACTCACTGGGACACGGCACTCGGACACCGCCCTCAGTTCGGGCGTCACGAGCAGGCTGCGTCGCCGTCGCCGCCCGCTGGAGGCAAGCGGCGACTGCGACTTCGCTCCGTGCGGGGTGCACGCACCTTGAAGGACTGCACGAAGGTCCACAGCAGGATGCGGATGGTGTAGCCCTGGCGCAGCAGCTTGATGAGCCGTGCCGCTCGGAAGAGCCGCAGGAAACTGAGGTTCAGATTCTTCTTCTGTTAGAGGGGGGGGAGGTGGTCAGTGGGGGGGGGGGGGGGCGGTCAGTGGGGGGGGGGGGGGGGCGAGGCCGCTCGCGTGTCCGTGCGTCCATCCACCGTCTCGTCCGCGTGTCCGTGCTGTGTGCGTGCGTGCGCGTGCATGTGCACGTGCGTACGTGTGCGTGCGCGTGCGTACGTGTGTGTGCATGTGCGTGTCTATTCTATTCTATTTTGGATCTATAAAGGCGCCTATCGCCGAGGCGCTTGGCCTCGGCGATAGGCGGAAAGATGGCTGGGGTAGTACGGCCGTGAGTAACCGGGTTTGGAAAAATAATGTTGATACGACAGCAGGGGAAGGAGGTGATGGTGGAGGGGGTTGAAGGAGGAATGGCGGGAGCCTGAGGGTGGATGGTACGGTCAGCAGCGGGATGGAGGAGAGATGCAAGAGCGAGACGAAGCAGCGGCTGGCTGGCGACCGGTGCCGCTCACCTTGATGAGCTCCGTCACCACGATGTCCGTCACGCTGCCAATCACCGTGACGAAGTCGAATATGTTCCACGAGTCCTTGAAGTAGTTCTGAGCAGACGCGCGTCAAAAAAAACAACAACGACAACAACGATGACGACAACGCGGCCGTCCACCGCCGTCCGCCACCACCCGTCTCCCGTCTCTGCATCTGTCAGCGCCGTCAGCCGTGGTGGTCGATCCACTGCTGGATTAACGGCCGCGGCCACGGTCCCTCAATCCCACAGTCCCACAGTCCCACAGTCCCACAATCCCTCAATCCCACAGTCTCTCAGTCCCACGGTCCCTCAGTCCCTCGGTCCCTCAGTCCCACAATCCCTCAGTCCCACAATCCCTCAGTCCCACAGTCTCTCAATCCCACAGTCCCTCGGTCCCTCGGTCCCTCGGTCCCTCGGTCCCTCGGTCCCACAGTCCCACGGTCCCTCGGTCCCTCGGTCCCTCGGTCCCTCGGTCCCTCGGTCCCACAGTCCCACAGTCCCACAGTCCCACAGTCCCTCGCCGTAACAATCCGCCTGGCAACCGCTACACCGGCTGGCTGGCCGTCCGCTCAGCTGCTTGGCTGACCATACTTCACCACGCTGGTCACCACGGGGCGTCCAAGGTGGAGGGATACAAAATTGGTTGTGATATCCACTCGCTTACTGATTATGGTTGGAGGGGGGGGGGTGGGGGCGTGGGGGGGGGCGCGGTGACGTCCTGCTCCTTTGCCCGCCTGCGCGCCAGCCGGCAAAAACTTTCTCGCTCTCCCTGTCTGCCTCGTGGCGTTTTTATAAAAACGCGACCAGCGGCGTCAACTTCTCCCGTGGCGTTAGGGTGGAGGTGCGGAGCGGCTCACTAGGATCCCGAAGGCGACGATCTTGAGCTGGCACTCCATGAAGAAGAGCACGGTGAAGACGATGTTCAGGTATTTCAGCACTTGCTCATACTCCACGGGGGCGTTGTGAAACTGCGCGGGCAGAACCAACGACCGTCATCATCGTCATCGTCATCATCATCACGGTCGGCGTCGTGACGGTCACCACGATCGTCGTCAATGTCGCGATTATCATCGTCGTCGTTGTTAACATTATTTTTGTCTTTATAATCATCGTCAACATCATTATCATCAGCAGCGTCATCAATGTCAGCGTCGGCGACGACATCGTCATCATCGTCAGAATTTAACACCCAGGAAGTGATAATGATTGCGCCGTCGCTGCCACCACCACCGTGACCACTGCCACCGTTATCACCGTGGCCGTGGTGATGGCGTTCCATTTTGTCACGGGGGAAAAATAAAGAAAATTCCCATTTGATAAAATGCGAAATATAAATTTGTCGCGTCCGTCGCTTTTTCATCGACTCGCTCACCACGTGCAACCTCGGCTCGGCACGGCATGGCTCGGCACGGCATGGCTCGGCACGGCATGGCCCGCCCACCCCCCCCACCCCGCCACGCCCCCCCCACCCACCTTCATCATGAGCACGACGGTGTTGAGGGCGATCATGGTCATGATGAAGTACTCAAAGGAGGAGGAGACGACGAACTTCCACATTTTGTACTGGAAGGTGTTGCGGTTCTGGGGCATGTGCTTGGTCAGCGGCTTGGCGCTGATGGAGAAGTCGATGCAGGCGCGCTGCGGCACGCACACCGCACGCACACAACACGCACCCCACACAGACACCACACGCACCCGGCACACACACCACACGCACACCACACGCACACCGCACAGACACCACACGCACACCGCACAGACACCACACGCACACCACACGCACCCGGCACACACACCACACGCACACAACACGCACACCACACAGACACCACACACACACCGCACAGACACCACACGCACACCACACGCACCCGGCACACACACCACACGCACACAACACGCACACCACACAGAGACCACACACACACCGCACAGACACCACACGCACACCGCACAGACACCACACGCACACCGCACGCACCCGGCACACACACCACACGCACACCACACGCACACCACACGAACACCGCACAGACACCACACGCACACCGCACAGCACACCGCAACGCACACCGCACGCACACCGCACAGACACCGCACGCACACCGCACGCATCCGGCACACACACCACACGCACACCACACGCACACCACACGCACACCACACGCACACCACACGCACACCGCACAGCACACCGCACGCACACCGCACGCACACCGCACGCACACCGCACGCACACCGCACGCACACCGCACGCACACCGCACGCACACCGCACAGACACCACACACACACCACACGCACACCACACGCACACCACACGCACACCACACACACACCACACGCACACCGCACAGCACACCGCACGCACACCGCACGCACACCGCACGCACACCCGCACACCGCACGCACACCGCACGCACACCGCACAGACACCGCACGCACACCGCACGCACACCGCACGCACACCGCACGCACACCACATGCACACCGCACGCACACCGCACGCACGCCACACGCACACCACATGCACACAACACAGACACCACACGGACACCACTCGGACACACGGATGGGACAGTGGATGGACAAATGCACGGACGGACAGGACACGCGGACAGATGACCGGCTAGAGAGACGCGACGAGAGGTACGCAGACTCGAGGGAGGGAACGGCACGGGGACGATCGGCACGAGGAGGGCGACGACAATATCGACGAAGATCAGAACACCGCACACACACGCACACTCACACACACACACTCACACACGCTCACGTACACACACTCACTCACGCACACTCACACACGCATACTCACTCACACACACTCACACACACGCACACACGCGCACGCACCCTCACACACACACTCACACACGCTCACGTACGCACACTCACTCACGCACACTCACACACACGCACACACGCGCACGCACGCACGCACACTCACGCACGCACACGCGCACTCACACTCGCGCAGGCACGCACACTCGCACACGCGCACACGCGCACACGCACGTACATGCACGCGCGCACACGCGCACGCACGTACACGCACGCACACGCACGCACACGCACGCACACGCGCGCACGCGCGCACGCACACACGCACACACTCACACACGCACCTCGTTCTTCTCGAGGCTGTACTCGGACATGACCTTGTCGCCCTGCTCCTGGAAGGTGATGATGATGAGCGCCACAAAGATGTTGACGAAGAAGAAGGGGAAGACGATGAAGTAGACGACGTAGAAGATGGCCATCTCCATGCGGTAGCCGGGGCTGGGCCCCTGGTCCTCGTAAGTCGCCTGCACCGAGCGCATGAGCACCCTGCGGAGCCGCGTGAACACGGAGGCAGCGTGAACGTGTGGAGTGTGTAGAGTGTGCGGTGTGTAGAGCGTGGAGCGGCATGAACCATGCGAACTGGAGGTGCGGAGAAGGACAACAAACTGAGCACGAACAGCGGCGGTACCGCGGGTGGCGCCGGCCACTCACTGAGGCCACCCCTCCCCCGTGGAGACGGTGAAGAGAGTGAGGAAGGCCCACAGGACGTTGTCGTAGTGGAAGTCGAACTTCTGCCACTCGCGCTTCTTCGCCTCGGCCACCGTGTTCTTCTTGTACTCCAGGAAGTAGCCCCTGGGGGGGGGCGCACACGTGACACGCACACGACACGCACACGTGACACGCACACACGACACGCACACGCGACACGCACACGATACGCACGCGACACGCACGCGACGCGCACGCGATACGCACACACGACACGCACGCGACACGCACACGACACGCGCACACGACACGCACACACGACACGCACGCGACACGCACACACGACACGCACACACGACACGCACGCGACACGCACGCGACACGCACGCGACACGCACGCGACACGCGCACACGACACGCACACACGACACGCACACACGACACGCACGCGACACGCACACACGACACGCACGCGACACGCACACACGACACGCACGCGACACGCACACACGACACGCACACACGACACGCACACACGACACGCACGCGACACGCACGCGACACGCACGCGACACGCACGCGACACGCACGCGACACGCATACGACACGCACGCGATACACACAGATCCCCGCGTCAGCGGGCGGCGACGGGGCGAGCGCCGTCGGCGGGCGGCGCGGCGACGGAGGCCGGGCGGCGACGTTGACGCCGCGCCAGCTGCTCGTTTGACTTGGGGGAGGAGGCTCGTAGCCGCTCGAGGTAATCGTCGCCGGAGATGGCAGGGAGCGGGAATCGAACTCGGGTAGCCGGGGCTCGTAGCGTGACGCGCCCGCCGCTAACAACGCTAACGCCGCCGCCGCCGCCGCCGCTCCCCATTCTAAGGGGCGTTCCGCTACGCCGCGTGATGCGTAGAAGTAACAACAACAACAACTCTTGTCATGTTCTACCAGGTAAGGCCCACTGAGCTGTGTGGCTCTTTTTGAGAAGAGACCTGGCCATCGAAAATGACAGCTCAACGAAGTGGATCATCATCATCATCGTGTGGATATTTATAGCGGCAGCCGCATACTCTAAACGCGTCGCGATGTTGATTATAAATGTGGAGGGACAGGAGGACGCGGAGAAAAATCCACGTGACCACAAAGAGAGACGGGGAAATCTTCAAATACACAGTAGCAGGCGTCAGGGTCGGGATCGAACCCACGACCTCCTGCACACCAAGCGAGGTAGTTAACATCTCCTAGCCACCGTGATGATGATGAGAGAGAGAGACACCGCAAACTCCAAATACACAGCAGCAGGCGTCAGGGTCGGGATCGAACCCACGACCTCCTGCGCACCAGGCGAGCTGGTTAACATCTCCTAGCCACCGCGGCGCCCATTGTTGCGAAAGCAGTGCGAGTTTGGCTTCGCGTGGTGGGCGGGAGGCAGTGTGGGCGGGGCTGTGGGCGTGGGGGAGGGGCGGAGACACTCAACGCTCCACACAGATGGATTGAAGAATCCATGGCTGTACGGCTGCCCTCACCTGCAGTCCTTCTCGAGATCCTTGGAGTTGTCGCTGCAGAAGAAGAAGCGCCCCTTGAAGAGCTGCACGGCGATGACGGCGAAGATGAACATGAAGAGGATGTAGACGATGAGGATGTTGAGGACGTTCTTCAGGGAGTTCACCACGCAGTCGAACACGGCCTGCGGGGCGACGTCGTCGTTCACATCGTTAACCTCGTTAACATCGCTGACATCGTTAACCTGGTTAGAGTCACAATGGTCATCATCATCTCACATTGATCATCATCAACTGACAGCGGTGAGCGAGGGGGCCTGTATCAAGTACTGAGTGAGCGAGTGGAGAGAGCGAGGAAGCGAGTTTACTGAGCAAGCGGGTGAGCGAGCGGGCGAGAGGGTGAGTGAGTGAGCGAGCGAGTTAGCGAGTGGGTGACCGAGTGATTGAGCGAGTGAGCGAGCGAGTGGGTGACCGAGTGAGTGGGTGACCTAGTGAGTGAGCGAGTGAGTGAGCGAGCGAGTGAGTGATCCGCGTGAGCGTGTGGAGTGAGCGGGCGAGTGAGTGACCGAATGATTGAGCGAGTGAGTGAGTGACCAAGTGAGTGAGTGAGTGAGCGAGCGAGTGGGTAACCGAGTGAGTGAGCGAGTGGGTGACCGAGTAAGTGAGCGAGCGAGTGGGTGACCGAGTGAGTGAGCGAGTGTGTGAGCGAGTGAGTGAGCAAGTGAGCGAGCAAGTGATCCGCGTGAGCGAGTGAGTGAGTGAGCGGGCGAGGGGAGCTGCCTTGAGTTTGGGGAGCCTCTTGATCGTCTTCAGGGGCCTCAGCACGCGCAGCACGCGCAGGGACTTGATGGTGTTCAGATCCTTGCCTCCCTTGCCTCCCTTGCGGTTCTTGGGGCCCCTGCGAACCGAGCGGACGGCGGACAAGAGCACATCGGTGAGAAGGGCCATCGCCCAAAACGTCGCCTGTTGGGTATTTTTTCTCGTGTTGTTGTTGTTGTTTTCCTTTCAAGCCCAGGAGCGGTGTGCCGTGTTGATGTTTTTGTTGACATGGAACGTGTGGGGTTGTTGTTATGGAGATGGAACGTGTTGAGTGGTTGTTGTTATTCACACGGAACGTGTTGGGTTTGTGTTGTCGTTGTTGTCTGTGCTTGCGCACACGCACGCGTGCACGCGTGCACACGCACACGCTCGCACGCACGCACGGACGCACACGCACGGACGCACACACACGTACAAACGCACACACGGACACACACGCGCTCGTACCCGTCTGATTGCATTTGTAGGGTTTGTATATCGAGGCATTGATTTGTAAACCCGCCAATCGGGGAGTGGTGGTCATGGTCGTGGTGGTGGTGGTTGTGGTGGTGATGGTCGTGGTGGTGATGGTCGTGGTGGTGATGGTCGTGGTGGTGATGGTCGTGGTGGTGGTGGTTGTGGTGGTGGTTGTGGTCGTGGTGATGGTGGTTTAGCCGCGCTGTGCCGCTAAGAGCCCGGCGACTTCCATTCCCGGCTACGGCTGACGTCGGTGCGGAGCGACACGATCGGAGCGGTTGGCTCCGCACGGCGCGGAAGAAGTTCAACATACACACGTACGACACACGCATGTACAACATACATACAACATACATACGTACCGTGAACCGGTCCTGGGCGCCCCCAACGCTTCACCGAATCCCCGCCGGCAACGGAAAGAGCGGCGCGACGGTGCGGTTTTTAAAACAATCGGCGCGAGACCCCAAAAAATTCAAATAAAATAAAAATCAAGTCCCATTGGGGGGTACTCTGGCAACGTGAGCGGAGCGACCGGGCCGGGAGAACCGGTGACCTGCCACGCCAAACCGGAGCGGTCACCACCGGCGCAGTGGCCACGGTTCGGGCGAACGCCGGGAGCCCACGGCCCTCAGCGGAGCCGCCTCTAACCTCGGCCACAGGGGCGGAGCTGTGGTGGGTGGTAGTGTGGAGGGATGGTGGGTGGGTGGTCGTGGGGGGTAAGGGTGGTGGTGGGTGTGGTGGTGGTGGGAGGTGGGTGGGAGGGATGGTGGGTGGGAGGGATGGTAGGTGGGAGGGGTGGTGGGTGGGAGGGGTGGTGGGTGGGAGGGGTGGTGTGTATGTTCGTGTGTAATGTGCAGCAGTGGAGTGCACCGATGCGTCACATCTTACTCGGCTTCCGTGTTGCTTCTGCGGTTGTGGAGGGGCGAGAGAGAAGGGGAGAGAGAGAGAGAGAAGGGGAGAGCGCGGAGTTAGAGACACGCGGTGGGGGGCGGGGGGGAGCTCGTGTCAGGGTTCAGGGGTCAGGGTAAGGATTAGGCTTAGTGGTCAGGGTTACCATTTAGCGGTCAGGGTAAGAGTTGAGCAGTCAAGGTCAGGGTGTAACGGTTAAGTCTAGCATCCAGCTGTCAGGGTCAGAATTGAGCGGTCAGGGTCAGGGTTTGGCTGTCAGGGTTCGGCTGTCAGGGTCAGGGTTTGGCTGTCAGGGTCAGGGTTTGGCTGTGAGGGTCAGGGTTTGGCTGTGAGGATCAGGGTTTGGCTGTGAGGGTCAGGGTTTGGCTGTGAGGGTCAGGGTTTGGCTGTGAGGATCAGGGTTTGGCTGTGAGGGTCAGGGTTTGGCTGTGAGGGTCAGGGTTTAGCTGTCAGGGTTTGGCTGTCAGGGTCAGGGTTTGGCTGTCAGGGTCAGGGTTTGGCTGTCAGGGTCAGGGTTTAGCTGTCAGGGTTTGGCTGTCAGGGTCAGGGTTTGGCTGTGAGGGTCAGGGTTTGGCTGTGAGGGTCAGGGTTTGGCTGTGAGGGTCAGGGTTTGGCTGTGAGGGTCAGGGTTTGGCTGTCAGGGTCAGGGTTTGGCTGTCAGGGTCAGGGTTTGGCTGTCAGGGTGAAGCTTGAGTGGCCAGGTGGCGCTCCAGCGGCGCGTTTGCGAGCGTGGACTCACGAGAAGGCGAACGCGAGGAGGGCGCCGCTCACGACGATGAAGTCCAAGATGTTCCAGGGGTCGCGGAAGTAGGCCCCACGGTGGAGCACCAGGCCCAGGTCGATCATCTGCTCGCAGCAGGCAGCGACGACGACGAGGAGAAGGAGGAGGGGAGAGAGGAGGGAGAAGGGAGGAGGACGAGGGGGAGGAGGGAGGAAGGTGAGGGAGGAGGGAGGAGGAGGGAGGAGGAGATGGAGGAGGGGGAGGAGCAGAGTGAGAGGGGGGGATACCGGCGGCCCCCCTTCAGAAATGGATGTGAGGAGGGGGGTGGGCGTGTGGGGGGGGGGGGGGGCGTAGGAGTACAGTACAGCAATGGCGTTTGCCACGCTGTCCCTCAGCCGCCCACAACGTAAACCCCGTGATCATCACCAGAGATGCGCTGCATGCGTCATTGTCATCATCATCGCCGTTCTCATCGTCGTCATAATCGTCGCCATTATTATCATCTTCATCGTCATCATCATCGTCGTCGTTGTCGTCATCATCGTCGTCATCATCGTCGTCGTCATCATCGTCGTCGTCATCATCGTCGTCGTCATCATCATCATCGTCATCATTGTCATCGTCGTCATCATCATGACGTTCACCCCCCGGGAGGGACAGCGTTCCCGGCAGCGGCTGCCGCCAGGGGCGCAACAAGCGGCGAACGCCGACGAACCTTGAAGACCATTTCGAAGGTGAAGACCCCAGTGAAGACGTAATCGAAGTAGCGCAGCACCTGCAACGGCAGAGCAAGACCCGCGCGGTCAGGAGCCGGGCAAGCGCCCCCTCGTGTGCCGCGGTGCCGGCCTTCGCAGGCGCCCGCTTACGGCGCTCGCCCCAACGGTCCGTCGAGGCTACCCGGGGGATCCTTGTCAGTGTGTGCGTGCGTGCACCTTGTTGCGGATGGAGCCGGCCTCGACGGGGTCCTCTGCGGCGAGCGCGATGCTGCTCATGGCGATGACCATGAGGATGCACATCTCGAAGTAGCGCATGTTCACCACGTAGTGGCACGCACGGCGCACACTGCACGCACACGCGGTGACCAGCTGGGCGACGGTGGTGGTGGTGCGTGGTGGTGGTGTGTGCTGGTGGTGGCAGTGCGTGGTGGCGGTGCGTGGTGGCGGTGGTTTGTGGTGGTGGCGGTTCGTGGTGGTGGTGGCGTTGGTGCTGGCGGTGGTTCAGTGGTGGCGGTGGTGGAGGTGGTGGTTCATGGTGGTGGTGGTGGTGGTGGCGGTGGTGGCGGTGGTGGCGGTGGTGGTTCGTGGTGGTGGAGGTGGTGGTTCATGGTGGTGGTGGTGCGTGGTGGTGGTGGTGGTGGTTCGTGGTGGTGGTGGCGTTGGTGCCGGCGGTGGTTCAGTGGTGGCGGTGGTGGTTCATGGTGGTGGTGGTGGTGGTGCGTGGTGGTGGTGGTGCGTGGTGGTGGTGGTGGTCGTTCGTGGTGGTGGCGGTTCGTGGTGGTGGTGGTGTTGGTGCCGGCGGTGGTTCAGTGGTGGCGGTGGTGGTTTATGGTGGCAGTGGTGGTTTGTGGTGGTGGTGTGTGGTGGTGGCGATGGTGGTGGCGATGGTGGTGGCGATGGTGGTGGCGATGCGTGGCGGTACGCACGGGTTGGTGGTGCTGAAGACGAACATGGAGCTGAAGGGCACCATGGGCTTGGGGCCCGTGGGGTCGCCCTCCGCCCCCTCCCCCTCCTCCGCCTCCGCCTCTTTCTCCTCCTTCCCCGCGCCTGTGGCACAAATGCGGCCACGGTGGTGGCGGCAGTGGTATTGGAGGTGATGGCGGTGCTGGTGATGGTTGTGGTGATGGTGGTAGTGGCAGCGTTGGTGGTGGTGGTGGTGACGGTGTCGACCACCTCGGTGACACCCGGGCGCTCTCCACCGACAGTAGCCGTCATTGCCTGGGGCTGTCTCGGCACAGTAGTGACATCACTAATGTGGACTTCTACACACATCTGGCTGTCGCCTGATGAAGAAGCTGGTTGTAATTACTGGCGAAACGTCGTACACTCAGATTGTAAATGTTGAGGCTTGGCTCTCCAACACACCGGTGTGCTGCACTAGTTTACTACACTATACACTACACTACTATACACTACACTATACACTACACTACACACTACACTATACACTACACTACACACTACACTATACACTAGTGCTGTACTAGTGACGAATTGGCCACGTTCTGCTTACGTGACAACCCTGACTAGTTGGCCGTGTTGGGTGGTGGTGGGTTTAACGACACAACATTTCTATATTTACGCGATCTTACCCAAAAAGAAACCCTTGATTGTGGCATGTGGATGATGTTGGTCACGAACGCCGACCCTTGCGTGTTAACCTGCCGGGCCCTTGCGGAGGGGGTCAGAGCGGAGCTGAGTCACCTTGCAGCTGTGTGGAGTCTCCGGCGGGCCCGGTCAGAGTCACGGGGATCTTCACCAGCTGGCTCGGCTCCGCCTTGCCCCCGCCCTTGCCGTTGCCCTCCGACCCCGGGCCCTTGGCGTCGAGGAGGGAGGGCACGCCCGCGGTGGCGTTGACGCCCGCCGCCTGGCCGTCCCTGGGCGGGGGGCGGCGTGGGGGGAAGCGAGACCCCATCACCCGAGTCGGGACTCGAACCCGGGACGTGTCTGGCGCGTGCCGGGGCAGCGCCGGTGCATCGGCTCCGTGCGCCTGTCCGCCCGCGGGCGGGAACTGCGACTCTCCACGAGTTACTTTTATGATAATGATAATCATTATAACGGTGATGAGGAACTCAGTTTCACGAAGCGCTTATCAAATTTCTCATCTCAAAAGTGCCATACATCAGAAGTAAAGTAAAAAAGAGAAAAATAAAACACCCTTCTTGTTACTGTTACAACTAACGAGTCAACTCGCGTGACGCTCCGGGTGATGGACCTTCTCCACGGCATACACAATCGGGTCGTTTGCAGTGTGGATAAAAATATATATATATTTGCGCATTCTGACCACGATGCCATCACGCAGAGGCCTACCGCTTGCAAGTGGCATCGCCGGATCTCTAGCGTCCCATTTGGAGAGAGCTGTTTCAGTGCCGTCTTGTAGGTGAGTGGGTGAGTCAGTGAGTGGGTGGGTTGGTGAGTGGGTGAGTGGGCGAGTGGGTGAGTGACTTGGTGAGTGGCTGCCTGGATGAGTGGGTGAGTGGGTGACTGGGTGAGTGGATGAGTAGGTGAATGGATGAGTGGGTGAGTGGATGAGTAGGTGAATGGATGAGTGGGTGAGTAGATGAGTAGGTGAGTGGGTGAGTGGGTGAGTTAGTGGGTGAGTGGATGAGTGGGTGAGTGGGTGATTGGGTGAGTGAGTGAGCGAGTGGATGAGTGGGTGAGTGGGTGACTGGGTGAGTGGGTGAGTGGGTGACTGGGTGAGTGGGTGACTGGGTGAGTGGGTGAGTGAGTGGGTGAGTGGGTGACTGGGTGGGTGAGTGAGTGAGTGAGTGGGTGAGTGAGTGGGTGAGTGGGTGACTGGGTGCCTGGGTGAGTGGGTGAATGGATGTTGCCACTGTGAAGCTGCCAGACTCATTGCTTTTTGTCTTGACCTTCAACCCTCCCGCCTAGCCTGCGAGCATTTGCGGCCGCTGGACTCGAACTGGTACCTGCGCACGCCATCGGCGGCACCCCTCTGCCCGTTGAGCTCCCCGTCCCGCGGCACTCCGTTGGGTCTCCGCGGGGCCTCCAGGCCCGAGGAGGCGAGGAGGAACTCCCTCTCTCCTGCGAGGTGCACGCACACGCAGCCCGTCGCACACACACACGCAGCCCGTCGCACACACGCAGCCCGTCGCACACACGCAGCCCGTCGCATGCACACACACAGCCCGTCACACACACGCACGCAGCCCGTCGCACACACATACGCAGCCCGTCGCACACACGCACGCAGCCCGTCGCACACACGCACGCAGTCCGTCGCACACACGCAGCCCGTCGGACGCACGCACCGGCGGATGGACGGACAGACGGACTGGACTGAGGGACAGGGAGACAATAGGATGGACACGTGGGCGGATGGACGAACGGATGGATGGGTGGGTGGAGCGGAGAGATGGTTGGGTTGAAGAATTAACTGAACACCATCCACCACCACCCACCACCATCCACCCACTTCACCAGGTACTCATTGTGAGGATGAGTCGACCTGGGGGAGGCCCAGGACCAGTTCAGATAATCACCACCAATGTTGGTGGCCGTGAGCAGGAATCAAACTCGGGTTTGCCGGGATCGTTGCGCAGCATGGCGCTAACCCGCTACTACTCTACCGTTACCACTACCACCATTACAACCACCACCGTTACAACCACCACTACCGTTACCACCACCGTGACAACCACCACTACCGTTACCACCACCGTTACAACCACCACTACCGTTACCACCACCGTGACAACCACCACTACCGTTAGCACCACCGTTACAACCACCACTACCGTTACCACCACCGTGACAACCACCACTACCGTTACCACCACCACTACTACTGATACCAACACCACTACCATTACCACCACTGTTACGAGCACCACCATTACCACCACCACCATTACCGCCACTCACCGGTAAACACGTCATCGCGGCCCGGGTGCCCGAGCGCCAGGCCTCCGGTCGGCACGGCGCCGGCGATTCCGCCGACTCCGATTCCGCCGACGACGGCGGCTCCAGCGGCCTGCGGGGGCCGCGTGGCCGTGGGGTCGGGCGGGGGCCGGTAGCAGGCCGACGAGGTGCGGAAGGGGCTGGCGTTGAGGGCCTCCGTGCTGGTGGCGCGCAGGTGCTGGCGCCGCAGCTCGTTGGCGCGCTGCTCCCACACGGAGCGCGGCTTGGAGGAGAGCCGTGGCTCCTTGCTGGCGCACGACGGCGCGGGGAGGAAGGGAGTCAGCGACGGTGGTGATGGTGATGAGGGTGTTGATGACAGTGATGATGACGTTAATGGAGACGATGACGACGACGATTATGATGACGATAAGGGTGATGATGACAATGATGACGACGATGATGATAATTATGATGACCATGATGATGACAATGATGACGACGACGATGACGACGATGATGACGATGATGATTACAACAACGATGATGATGACGCCGCCGCCGCCGCGTACCCCCACCTGGACAGATTGGCGGCCGACATGGGGCTGACCTCGGCGACCTCCCGGGCTTTCTGCATGGCGAGTTTATGCGTGGCAGCCTCCTCTTCCTCCTCCTCGTCCTGCTGGGAGTAACCGCGCAACCCCCACATACATCTCCCGCACGCGCCAAGCTCCCTCCGCCAGCCACGTCGAGGGCAAAGGTCGCCCCCGCGTAGCCGCAACGGACCGTCGGGGCACGTGCCGTTTGGCGCTGAGGCGGCTCCCGGGTGGCCAACAACAAACCCCACGGCAGCCGCGGCCACCTTCGTCTCTCGAGTGGCGATGTTGGCGACGACGATAATAATTCACATGTATTGGTTGCGCATTCTCCTACCTAGGATCCAAGTGCGCAACGCATGAAGAGCAGGAGACAATGACAGAACCAGGGGGCAACCGGCCGAACTCGAGAGGCAAGGACACTTTAAAGAGATGGGGTTTCAAAGCGGACTTGAATCTACCGACTCCGATTGCCCTGATTTCAAGTGGCAAGGCGATCCGTGGTTTCGGCGCCACGCTAACAAAAGCCCGGTCACCAAAAGAGCGCGACCTGGGAGTGCCGAGCAGTTGGAGACCGGAAGATCTGAAGGACCTTGATGGAATATATACAGAGGACTGCAGAGCTCGGGGCAATATATAAATGTTTTAGTTCCTGCAAGTAATGTGAGGTGAGCCCTCTTAAAGCCTGAAAGGTGAAAAGCAGTACCATAAAAATGCACCCGGAATTTGACCGGTAGCCAGTGCAGAGCTAAGAGGACCTAGTGCAATGCGCTCACAGAATGGTGACCGTGTGAGCACTCTCACAGCAGCATTCTGAACAAGGTACTCGTCTCAGGCTGAGTGGACCTAAGGGGAGGCCGGGACGGGTTCAGACAACCGTCACCGGTGTCGGCGGTGGGTCGTGAGCGGGGAACCGAACTGGGGCCGCCGGGGTTCGTAGCGCGGCCGCGCTAACCGCTGCGCCGCCGCTCCCCGCGCTAACCGCTGCGCCGCCGCTCCCCGCGCTCGGGGCACCGACGATCACCCTCATCGATGCATCACCTTGGTCAGCTCCTGGGCATTGGCGAGATTGTCCACAGCGATGGCCAGGAAGACGTTGAGGAGGGTGTCTGTGCGTCACAGTGGATGTCGTTAAGGGCTCAGCACGGACGCCGCGCGGACGCTCAAGGGACAACCTTAGCAGGCGGACACGACGGACGGACGGATGAACAGAGGGATGGACAGATAGACACATGGACAGATGGGGAGATGCACGGATCGAGAGACAGATTGACACACAGACGGAAAGACAAATAGACAGGCAGAGGGATGGACAGAGCTGCTGATGTTTAAACGCTTCACACCTCGGCTGGAGTGCGTTACGTATCTACGTGCGTTGAACTTCTTTCGCACCGTACGTAGCCAACCGTGCTAATCGGAGGTGCGGGCAGGGGAAAGGGCCAACAAACTAAAAACACAACAACAACAAGCGCTTCTCAAGAAATTAGTTTGTCAATCCAAATAATGATTTTAAAATGCTATACAGCTCCCGGAGTGGCCTTCTTAATATTGGAAGGGGAAGAGCGTTCCAGACGGTCGCAGGAGCAGCAGCCAGCCAGCAAAGCCACCACCACCGCTGCTGCTGCTGTGAGGATGACCAGAGTTCATGTGATGACGATGGTGGGGTGGTGGGGTGGGTGGGTGGGGGTGGTGGGGGGGTGAGGATACAGTTCCCGAAGAGGGTGAGGACGATGAAGTAGAGGGAGGCGAACATCCCGTCGTCGACGCCACCCTGCGACACGATGGCATCGTACATCACCACGTTCCAGTCCTCGCCCGTCAGGATCTGCACAAAGCGCAGGGCACGTCGTCATCATCACCACCACCATCATCGCGATCATCGCTATCATCATCACCATCGTCGCCATCATCGCCATCATCATTATCGCCATCATCGTTATCATCATCATCATCGCCATCATCATCGCCATCATCATCATCACCATCTTAAACATCATCATCGGCATCATCATTGCTATTGTCATCACCATAATTGCTGTCACAATCACCATCGTCATTGTCATCATCACCATCTTTATCATTGTCATCACCATCATCATCACCACCACCACCATCATCATCATCAGCACGACCGCCATCATCGTCATCTTCATCATTGCCATCACCATCATCGCCACCACCGACTATCACCGCCACCACCGTCACCACCGTCGTCCCCTGCATGCGTGCTGCGTGCGGAGTGCGCGATGTCGGGGGTGCGAGTGAGGAACAGAGGGACCGGCCTGGAACACGGTCATGATGGCCGCCGGGAAGGTGTTGAAGTTCGTGTCGGGGGTGCTGTGGTCGAAGTTAAATCTGGAGGAAGACGGGCGACAGAGAAAACGAATTACAAAGACATCCGAGGGAGTATCGTATCCGCTAGAGATCCCATTGCCGGCTCTGAGAATTGACAAAAATAAAACAAACAGAAATTTTGACTGCCGTGCAACAAACATTACTCTCGTATGGCAGAGCGGGGGGGGGGGGGGGGGGCGGGAGAGTGCTGCCCTCTGCAGAAGGAATCTCAGAGGTAGTTCTGTGGAATGCACTTCCGTTCTGTGTGGACCAGAGTTCACTTGAAGCAGTGATCTCAGAGGTAGCTCTGTAGACTCCACTTCCGCATAGCCATTCTGTGTGGACCAGTGGTCACTTGATCTCAGAGGTAGCTCTGTAGACTCCACTTCCGCAGGGCCATTCTGTGTGGCCCAGACGTCATTTGAAGAAGGGATCTCAGAGGTAGCTCTGTAATAATCTGCTTCTGTGGGTTCCGCTCTCTGACAACACGGAGCAGGAGGATGAGGAGGGGGGGGGGGGGATCGCGTTTGACGTGTGAGATTATATTTTCACCCCCAACGGATTTCTTCTTTCTCCGGTGTTTGCGGAGATTTTTATTTTGCGGTCAAAATCTAGCAGGAGGGGGGAGGGGGAGGGGCCCTGGTAAAGTTTGACTGCATTCCACTCACTGGCCCCCGAAGAGCTGCATGCCCAGCAGAGCGAAGACGACGATGAAGAGGAAGAGCAGGAAGAGGAGGGACACGATGGACTTCATGGAGTTGAGCAGAGACACGACCAGATTCCGCAGAGATGACCAGTACCTACACACAAGCGCACGCGCACAGACAAGGGATCCCCGTGTAGCCTGTAACAGACTGTTGGGAACACGTGCTGATTGCGAGCACCTATGAAGGCCGGCACCATCGCACACGAGGAGGTGGGTAGCCAGCACCACGCCCCGGCCGCCTTTGTCTCCCTAAGTGGCGATGTATACGCACAGCACCAGGTACTAATTTGAGACTGAGTCGACCTAGGGGGGAGGCCCAGGACCGGTTCAGATAATCGTCACTGGTGTAGGCCGTGAGCGGGGATGGAGCCCGGGTCGCCGGGGGTTGTAGCGCAGCGTAGCGCTAACCACTACGCCGCCGCTCCCCTCAAGAGACGACCATTACCCACGTAGAGACAAAGGTCCCCCACATAGGCTCTCGCAGGCTGTTGGAGGCAAGTGCCGTAAGCGAACAGCAGCACGTACGAGGCACACGCTCGGGGTGGGTGGCGACCACAATCGCCAGCCAAACGTCAAGGTCACTCGAAATGTAAATCTTGCCGTGGGTTCGCTCGCCAACGCACAACCGGCTTCGTGCCGATGTCGAAGCTAATTGCGCACATTTTTGTGTTACGTGACAAACCTTACCAAATGGCCGTGTCGGGTAGTGGCGGGTTTAACGGCGTGTTTATAATTACCCATGGTGGGGGGGAAACTTGTATTACGGGTGTGGCCACCGCCACGCCCGGCCGCCTTTGTCTCCCCCCCCCGGCAGTGACGCTTCTTTACACATCGCACTGGGTACACGCACCGCGGCCACATCGAACACCGCGACGCTATGTTCGTCCGCACAACCCCAAGCGGCTTGCAGGGCAAGTCGTCGTCGTCATCTTTGGTGTCGTCACCATCATCGTCGTCGTCGTCGTCATCTTTGTTGTCGTCGCCATCGGCTGCCGCTGCGGAAAGTCCCCGAGCGCTAAGAAGTTTTGTGCGTCGTTGGGGGGGGAGGGGGGGGTGGAGGGTGGGGAGATGTGGGGGGGTCCCCCACTCACTTGGTGACCTTGAAGATCCTCAGAAGCCTCAGGGCCCGCAGAACCCTGAGGCCAAACGCCGACCTGGGCTGCAGAGTGGACCAGATGATTTCGAAGATGCTGCCGATCACCACCTGCACCGCACGGACATCCCCGCCCATCAACGCCATGCCTCCTCCTGGTGAGCTCCGCTCCGTACATAGGGGGGGGACTCTGCTTACGAACAAAGCGACTTACGAATGTTCAGAGATACGAACAAACCTGTCCATATGTCCAGTTGCAGCTGTTCACGATGCTATTGCCTGTGACAGGCTGAAGAAGAGAGCAACTGTGCAGACATCTCTCAGTCAGTTGTTTAAAGAGAGTAGAGAGGAAACACGAACACCAAAGGGAATTAGCATCTACATCTGCAGAACGTGAAGAACCAGTGGCATCTACATCTGCAGAACGTGAACAACCAGTGGCATCTACATCTACAGAACGTGAAGAACCAGTGGCATCTACATCTGCAGAACGTGAACAACCAGTGGGATCTACATCTACAGGAGATTATACGACGTTTAAAGCCATTCCCTGTCTTTGGTGTAGATGCCGTACAACGTGTTTGAAATTTACAGGAGTCAAGTTGTACTGAAGAACAAATCGACTAACCAACAGATCTCTGGAACCGTTTGTAAGTAGAGGAGTGCCTGTATATAGTAAGTATTCCGTTCAGTTGATCGTGAGTATATCTTAAGATATGGCATATCTGCTGTTTTTGCTGATGCTGTTGTTACTACTATTACTGCTGCAACTGATGATGCCACTGCTCATGCTCCTAGTGATGCTACTACTGCTGCTGCCATGATAGCTGCTGCCTGCATCTCACCGCAAAGTCGAAGCAGTTGAAGGAGGAGTGGAAGTAGTTCTGCATCCCGAGCCCGTACATCTTGAGCATCATTTCCAGCAGGAAGAGACCCAGGAACACAAACTCCATGTAAGCTGCAAAAACAAAGATCCCCCGTACTGCCTCAACAGACTTTTTGGGGCAAGTGCTTTCAGCGAGTAGCACCTACGAATGGCGGGCATGGCAACACGAGGGGCTGGGTGGCCAGCACCACGCCCGGCCGCATTTGTCTTTCCAGCGGCGATGTTGACACGCCGCACCAGGTACTCATTTAAGGCTGAGCCGACCAAGGGGAGGCCCAGGACCGGTTCAGAAAATCTTCACTGATGTTGGCCGTGAGCGGGAATCGAACTCGGGGTCGCCGGGTGACTGGGCTGAGACCCTCAACTTGCCGCACAAGAGACCCCAGTTTGACCACAGAGCCGTCGTGAGTCTATGGGAGTCTGTGGGCCTTTCACTAAACCTATGGGGACTCTGCATACGTCTATAGGCCTTTCTATTTGTTTATTGATCTCCCTATATCCATGGGATCTGTATGCGAGTCTGTGGTGGGTCGCGACGCAATTATGTGGGTCTCTACACGAGTCTATGGGTCTCTATGCGATGATGTGGCTCTCGCTGTCAGTCTATAATTCTCTTCGTGATGAAGTGCGTCTCTACGCGAGTCTATGGATTTCTCTGTGGGATTGGGGGGGATAATTCGGCGACGGGGGGGGGGGGAGGATTGGTAGGGGGGGGTTGGTGAAAGGAGGGGGAGGAATTGGTGGGGGGGGGGGGGAGTAGTGCCGACTCACAGAGCACTTCGGTGAGCTCCTTGGGCTGCTTGTAGTGGACCATGGCGACGCAGAGCGTGTTGAGCGCCACCAGGCAGAGCACCGTCCAGTAGAACGCCTGAGACTTCACCATGCGGCGGATGCAGAAGCGCAGGCGCTTCTCCTTGCGCTGGAAGTACGAGGAGGAGGAGGCCGCAGCGGCACCGGCCGCGACGCCGCCGGCGCCGGCGCCGCCCGAGGCACCGGCCAGGCTGCCCCCTCCGACGCCGCCGATTCCCGCGCCGATGCCCGCGCTGGCGCCGTCGGCTTTAACGCCGGTGATGCTGGCGCGGGCGAACGGGGAGCCTGGGCGGACGGGCAACGCGCAGAGAGGTCACGTGTACGACCACGACGATGAGGAGGTGGAGGGGGGTGGCGATGGTGGCCGACGATGGTGGATTGGATTTGCAATGCGTCCGTAGAGCTACGAGTTCACTTTCACCTCACTCAGATGCTCGTCCGCTCGCTCGCTAACCCGCTCAGCCAGGCTGCTCACTAACTCACTTGATCGCCACTCATTCGCTTATGCCCCCACCCGCCTACTCACCAACCCACTTACTCAGTCATCCACCCACCAACCTACTAACTCACTCACCCACCCACCCACTCATTCACTCACCCACCTACTCACTCACCCACCCACCGACCTACCTACTCACTCACCCCTCCACCAACTCACTCATCCACCGACTCATCCACTTATCCATGCCATTCATTCGCCCGCCTACTCATTAATTCAGTCACCCGACTCACTCATCTACCAACCCGCTTACCTATTCACTCATTAACCCACTCAACCACCACCCACCCAATGGCCCAATCACTCGCTCGCTCCCCCACTTATTCACCCAAGGGAAGGAGAGAAAGGAAGCGATCAAGGGAGTGTGAAGGTGCAGTTGAGGAGGGAGGTTGTAAACCACGATTTTGCTGCGATAAGGCATCAACCACTATCTCTTGCACAATACAAGACCCACGAGATCTCGTACGATATGCGATCCAAGTACGATATAAGACCCACAATATCTTGGACAATATAACGCCTACGACCTCTCACACGCTACAAGACCCACGATCTCTCACACGATACAAGACCCACCACCTCTCACACGCTACAAGACCCACCACCTCTCACACGCTACAAGACTCACCACCTCTCACACGATACAAGACCCATCACCTCTCACACGCTACAAGACCCACCACCTCTCACACGATACAAGACCCACCACCTCTCACACGCTACAAGACCCACCACCTCTCACACGCTACAAGACTCACCACCTCTCACACGCCACAAGACCCACCACCTCTCACACGCTACAAGACCCACCACCTCTCACACGCTACAAGACCCACGACCTCTCACACGCTACAAGACCCACCACCTCTCACACGCTACAAGACCCATCACCTCTCACACGCTACAAGACCCACGACCTCTCACAAACTACAAGACCCACCACCTCTCACACGATACAAGACCCACCACCTCTTACACACTACAAGACCCACCACCTCTCACACGATACAAAACCCACAATCTCTCACACGATACAAGACCCACCACCTCTCACACGCTACAAGACCCACGACCTCTCACACGCTACAAGACCCACCACCTCTCACACGCTACAAGACCCACCACCTCTCACACGCTACAAGACCCACGACCTCTCACACGATACAAGACCCACCACCTCTCACACGCTACAAGACCCACCACCTCTCACACGCTACAAGACTCACCACCTCTCACACGCTACAAGACTCACCACCTCTCACACGCTACAAGACCCACCACCTCTCACACGCTACAAGACCCACCACCTCTCACACGCTACAAGACTCACCACCTCTCACACGCTACAAGACTCACCACCTCTCACACGCTACAAGACCCACCACCTCTCACATGCTACAAGACTCACCACCTCTCACACGCTACAAGACCCACCACCTCTCACACGATACAAGACCCACCACCTCTCACACGCTACAAGACCCACCACCTCTCACACACTACAAGACCCACCACCTCTCACACGATACAAGACCCACAATCTCTCACACGATACAAGACCCACCACCTCTCACACGCTACAAGACCCACGACCTCTCACACGATACAAGACCCACGATCTCTCCCTCGAGATGTCGCGGGTCTTGTATCCTGCCAGCGGGGGCTGCGAGCCAGAACCTACATGCCTGCGCCTATCACCCATTGTAAGATCTCCGATCCTTGTACCGTCAATTGTCCGTTCTACATCAAAGCTGTGATGCTGCGATTCAGGTCACATGTTTTCGACTTCCTCGGGTAGAGTTCTTGTTGTTTTTGTTTAAAAAGAGGCACCAGGTGGTTGAGTGATCACAGATGCTGAGCCGACACCGCTGAGAGCGCATTGGTTCCAATCCGGGTTACAGTCGCTGCCTGTGGTGAAACCGGGTTTCTCTAGTGCGGTGAATTGATGGTCTAAGCCCAGTCACCAGTGACTCACACGAAGATCCATAGACTCACATCGAGAACCATAGACTCATTCACATAGAGACCCATACACTCACATAGAGACCCATACACTCACATAGAGACCAAGAGACCAGCATAGAGACTCATAAACATAGCTCCGTGTTTAACACGTAGGCTTTCGCGACCAATGTTATTCATAATCAAGCACCATTCTGGCGAATTGCCCGATGATGCTGGTTCCAATTACCAGCGAGACGTCGTACTCAAATTGTAAATGTTGTGGCTTCAACACACCGGTGGGCTAAAGCAGAGAACTATTTGTCTTTGTCAACGTGACACTTTTTTACTGATTGGCCGTGTCGGGTGGTGGAGGGTTACGACACATTTATAAATAAACGCGATCTAAACCCAAAAACGTTGATTATGAATAGCTCCGTGTATCTTCTTGGTTATTTCGGTAAAGTCACGTAGAGGGGAAATAACAAAATAATAAAAATAAAACATAATAAAATACAATTCTCACGACGTTTTGGCCACAACGCAAGCAGCCGTCCTCAGGTGAAGAACAGGTCTGTCTTCAGACGCTGTCTGTCTTCAGACGCTGTAGCCAGCAATTCACATGGTAAGCGAAGGTTTACAGGGGCTGCATCGCACGGCTGGTACTACGGTAGCCAGCAAGTTACAAGTTAAACTAGCGCGGCACAGGCTAGAGAAGAGATGGGGCTGATGCGGTACAAGAGGACGCGGAGCCGAGTGCACTTGCCAATGACCGGTAGCAGCGGTGTCAAGATCGGCCTTTGTGGATGCCAATCTTGACATCACTCCTGGGGAGTTGGAAGCAGTTGCCCTCCAGCAGCAACGGATGGCAGAGGAGCGACGCTCACAACGACGAGCAGAGCACGGGCGAGCATAGCTGGTGTGCATCTGTCAGTCATCTCAGTCGGTCAACCCACGGCACCTGGTTCTGTGCCGTGACCTTCCGTCAGCGAGCCTTCGACACTTCACGTGGCCACATGAACGCCGCTCAGCGGCAAATTGTGGTTATTGCTGTTGTTCGCGTGTGCGTGTTAGCGCTCGTGTGTGTGTGTGTGTTAGCGTGTCATGAACAGTTAAGTAATCTTTAACTTAGTCTGGAAGTACCAGCCAATTGTGAAAGGCGATTACAACTGTTCGCGAGAAACTGACATCGCCGGTTCTCGTCGCATCGCGAGAAATGATAACACCACAGCAAAACCCGGACCTCCACCCACATGCGACAGAGAAAGCCACAAGCGCATGCACACAGAGTGGCGCACAGAGCGACACAAACAGCACCACGGCACGCACAGCACGGTAACACAAAGCACACGCACGCAGGGCCAGATTAACATACGGGGCTATCAGAGTCTCTGGCCAGAGGGCCTCTGGATTTTTTTTTATTGTTTCTGTCCCTCTAGAAAAAAGTTAATGACAAAAATTTATATATAAATACACGAGTGGCGCACGCCAGTCAACCAGCACTGGTTCAATAAAAATGTGAACTCCACCTCATTCCGTCGGTACGGGATCGAGCGTTTCCCCCTCGCACGCGCGTTTTTTTTTCCCTTCTCCTTACGGTTAAGCCGGTCTCCTCCCACACATGTATGGACACGCGTCAATTGGCGGACACCACCTTAATATACGCAGGACCCCCAGAGCTTGGGAAATCGTTGGTACACCTGCCCTCGCGCTCGTCCGTGGTTCCCCCTCCTGGCGCCTCTCTCTACGGGAGAGCGGACATCGCAGGAGGGCCCCAAACGGACCGTGACTAACAGGGGACGAACACGCGAGCGGCGGGAGAGCCCACCGTGGACGTTAACTCGGGGAGAGATGATGTGAGTTTGGCACTGAGCACGGGCGTGACGTGGTGAACCGGTTAGAGAGGGACGGAGCTGAATATACACCACACGGTGGGGGGCGGAGGCAACTTTAACCAACCCCCCCCCCCCCCCCCCCCCCTGAATGTTAATCTGGCCCTGCACACACACGGACGCACAAACGAGCGCGAGGAGTGCGTCTGACCAGGCTCCGCGACACTGGGCGTCTGCTGCTGCTTCTCTGCGGCCAGGCCACCTTCCTCTGCGTGGATTAAATCATTCCGGCTTTTCCGTAGCGTGGCCCTCCTCAGGACTGTGGAGAGATCCCGGCGCCGGGCTCGTTATCATCATCGTTATTGTCGTCGTCGTCGCCGTCGTCGTCGCTATTAGCATCATTGTCACCGTTATCAGCGTCGTCGTTATCACCATCAGCGTCATCATCGCCACCATCAGCGTCATCATCGTCACCATCAGCGTCATCATCGTCACCATCAGCGTCATCATCGTCACCATCACCGTCATCGTTATCAGCGTCTTCATTATCACCATCACTGTAATCACCATCAGCATCATCGTCTTCATTATCACCATCACTGTAATCACCATCAGCGTCATCGTCTTCATTATCACAATCACCGTCATCACCATCAGCGTCATCATCGTCACCATCAGCGTCATCATCGTCACCATCTGCGTCATCATCGTCACCACCATCATCGTCACCATCACCGTCACCGCTGTCACCGTCATCATCGTAAATCACTCTTGTTAATGAGTGTGTGTTTTGTGTTGTGTGTTTATGTTGTGTGTTTTGTGTTGTGCGTATTTTAGTTGTGTGTATTTGTGTTCTATCTATTTGTGTTGTGCATGGACGTTCGCTGTCGTTGTGTTCGTGGCTTCCAGGTGAGAGCGAGCGGCTCGCGAGCGGAAAGTCATGAGGTCAAATCCCGATTTGTGGGGGAGTTGACTCGGCCCCCATCATCATTCCTCCGGGGGTCGGATGGGTCGATAAATTCAGCACCACTTTGTGGCGGAAGTCAATCCCTACAGACAAGACTCGCCCTCCCTCGCCATAGGAATGTGGAATGTCCAAGACCGGCTCTGCAGGGCTGTGAACAGGAGATGAGCGGCGATGCCCCAATGCTCCTTTGAGCAGCAGGAGATCATGTGGGAGTGGTTAGCACACCGCGTCATGAACCCGCCAGACAAACGTGCTAACAGCACTTACCCCAATAGTCTGTTAAGTCTATAGGGTGGATTTTTATCTTTACCTTCGTCTAAATAAATTAATGCTCGTTGCGAAATAGGCACTCGATCATCGTGTCTCCATGGGCATGAATTATATTGTTATTAAGTTGTTGTGCCTTGCAATATCATGATTTTGTAAACGTTTGTTGTTGTTGTAACGTTCTTACACCGTGCCCTTACTGGACATCTGTGAAAAAAATGACTTTATAACTCATCAGATTCCTCCTCCTGCCTCATAAATACAATCTTCTGATTCTGATATTTAATCTCGCGGGTTAAATAAAAAGTGGTACATCCACTAACGGAACCAACTGCTGGCGTCATGTTGTGGTTGGCACGGGTCCTGATGCTTTATTTAAAATGCCTCCCCCCCGCCCCTCCGCCGACTCTGCAAACCCCTCATGAGCCCAGCACCGGTGCAGCCGCACCGCCTGCACACTCGACAGCTGCACCACTTGCCCCTTTACCATGAATCGTCATCACCATGACCACCGCCATCATCGTCATCGTGAGCACGTGGGAGGGGGGGGGGGTGTCTCTATCGCCACCGCCATCTTGCACCACAAACGATGGGGCCCAAGAGCGATCGCCTCGCGAACGCAAGAGGAGGAGGAGGTTGCCAAGAGCTCTGTCATGATTGTGCTGCATGCACTGCTGTTGTCGAACCACGGGGGAGGAGAGAGCATTATGAGTTGACTCCGGCGCAGGCCGCGGCAACACAAAGACAAAGATCCCCCGTATAGCCTTTATAAGGCTGTTGGGGCAAGTGCTGTAAGCGAGCAGCGTGCCTGTGAAGGCCGTCCATGTGGCACGCGAGGGCGCGGGTGGCCGGCGCCACACCCAACCGCCTTTGCCTCTCCAATGAGGATCTTTACGCACTTATGCTCAGGTACTTAATTACAGCTGAGTCGACCTAGGGGAGGCCCAGGACCGTGCTAGATACGTCACCTGCATTGGCCGCTGCACCGCCGCTCCCCCCACGTACTTGTACGCACGCCCTCGCGAACACGCGCGCTCACCAACACCCGCACATGCGGACGTGCGCATGCACAGAGACCCCCTCCTCCGCCCCACCGATGCACAGCTCATGCCATCATCGCAAGTGAAGGTCCAAACCAGGGGGAAGGGTGGGGATGAGAGGGGTGGTGATGAGAGGGGGGGTGATGGGAGAAGGGCGATTGCCCCTCCACCCCCTGAAGATTGCCCAGGTTGAGTGCAATGGGCACAGCGCGCCGCAGCGCTTTCCCTATCGAACGACTTCGCTTGCCGTTAGCAGCAGCAGCAGCAGCCTGGAGCGCATCGTCGCAGCGGGAGCGAGCGACGGTTCGCTGAGGAGCCCCTTTGCCCAGCGGTTGGGTGGGCGCCGTCAAAATACAGCCAATCCGGAAGAGGAGGAGGAGGCGGAGGAGGTAGGTGGAGGTGGAGGAGGAGGCCATCGTCGTCGCGACCTCTGGGTCTACTCGACGCCGCGCTCTCATTGGCTGAGCGGGCACCGTGTGATGTCACAAGTCCGTCATCAATGGACGCCGTGCGGGCGCCTCGTGCAAGCGCCACGGCTCGGCAGGGCTGCTTCTGCCCCCATTGTGACGCAGACCTCCGGGATCATTGCGGGCTCGGGATGAATAATAACAACACGAGCAATCGACTTGATAATTTACATTTAACAAAGAAAGTAGTTAAGATCGAAACAGGAGGAGGATTTCTCCGCAACTCTGGCGGTCCGCCTGATGATGCTAGTTGTTGTGATTACCGTCAAAACAAGGCCAGGTACTCGAATTGTAAACGAAGTAGTGGGTTCACTCTCCAACACACAACCCGGTTAGTGCTGGACTCGTAATGAATCGGCACGTTTTGTTGACGTGACAAACCCTCACTAATTGGCCGTGTCGAGTGGTGGTGGCGGGTTTAACGACACATTTATATTTATGCGATCTAACCCAAAAAAAACCTCTATTATGGAGAGAAAATAACTTAATGTTTTTATTTTCTTCTGAATGTAAGGTGCCCACGTTTAGAGAGCTCATATTTCCAGACTGCCCCCTCCCCCCACCCCTCTCACCCCCGACGGTTCAATCTCCCACTCCACCCACCCAGTGCAGGATTAAGCGAGTGCGGAGCCTGTAGCACATACACATTAAAACACGCAATTTTTTACTTCCATAGTAAAGTATTTGGATTTTTTCATTTGCTATTCAGCCAGATAATACGACAAATCACTAACCTTAAACACCCAGTCGTTCATAAAAGGTGAAGGCGGTATAGTACTATAGTAATAGAGCAAGTGCAGAATCACTGAACAGGAATTGATAGCTTGAAAGCATTTAGCGCGGGGCCCTTGAAAGTGCGGGGCCCAATAGCATATGGAGCTACTTTTGCTACGAGGATAATCCGGCACTGCACCCACCGCACCTTCTACCGGCGTGGCGGGTGTCACTTCCACCTCTTCCAGAGACGTCCGACTCAGCGTGGAAGAGTAGACCAAATACCACGCGGAGAGGGACTCTCTCTGTCGGGCTTCCTCTACCGGAGGGGGGCCCCTGTGCCCAGCGGTGGCGTGAGCAAAGAGATTGCAGGGCTGCGCCTTTGACCTCTGCCCATGTTCTGCAAATCCATATGCTTGGACAACAGGAGTGGAATTACCCAACAGCACCTCGTAGAGCGATTCGAGCCACCGTGGTGCACTGCACTGCCCTGCTCGGCCCAACATAAGTGGCGAGTTCTATCCCAACTCTGAACAACTGCTCCTGGGCCTTCCCCGCACGTCAACTCAGCCTCAAGTCTATACCTCGAGGGGTGGGGGGGAAGACAAAGGCGGCCGGGCGTGGTGATTGGCCACACCACCCCCTCTCATTAGGCACGCTACGTAGAGGTTGCTCGCGGACCAGCACAGGCTACACGAGGGGAGTGGGGATCTTTGGCTGTGTTTTGTGTGTGTGCATCCACAGCTGTTGGACGCACGTGTGTGTACGTACACACACGTGCGTACACACACGTGCGTGTACCGGCGAGCGGAACACGAAAGGTGGATTGGGAAACCACCCCCCCCCCCCCCCCGTTGTGGGATGGGCAGTCCCTTAATAGGCGCTCGCAAACCATCGTGGCACCTCCCGTATGTGCCTGGCGAGGCGCGGCACGTGTCGGCCACCGTCGGGAATGAGTATGGCGATGGGTTTTTATCTTTGTTGTGTTGTTGTGGAGGAGAGACGGATTATGTGCGGGAGGAATATATTTACGTATTTATATATTTGTTTCGTAGTTATTGCATTGATAAACGTTTAAACACGTGGGCTTTCGCGACCAACATTGTCCATAGAAGAAGTTTGTTGTGGGTTTAATCTCTCACGCACCATTGTGCCACACTTGTAACGAATTCTCACGTTTTGTTTACGTTGACAAATCTTACTAATTGGTTGCATAAGGTGGTGGCGGGTTTAACGACACATTTACATATTGACGCAAACTAACCCCAAAAAGACTCTCTTGTGCAGTGATAATAATTCGCTCTGTCCACCCGGGAAGGCAGTGCTGCTCATACTGGGACGTGTGGCCATTCCCATTGACACAGCATGTGGCTTCACGTGGGAGGTGAGCGGAGAATCCCAAACGAGCGTCTCCCCCTAGATCGACTTGGCCTTAAATAAGTACTTGGTGCGGTGCGTAAGCAAAATATCAGCACCGGTGGAGAGAAAGGCGGCCAGCGTGGTGCTGGCCACCCACCCCCTCGTGTGCCGGGTCGGACTTCATCGGTGCTACTCGCCAACAGCACTTGTCCGAACAGTCTGCTTGGGCTATACGGGGGATCTTTGTCCGTGCGCATGTGTGCGTGATCCCCTGCGAACTACCCCAGGGATTGTGGAGCAGGGCAAAGCGTTTGATTGGAGGTCGCAATCAATTGTTGGAGGCACGCGCGTGCGTGGCGGGTGGGGGTGGCGTGGGGGGTGATCGATGGACTGTGGTGACGCGGCTGCCCGGGGGTTCGTGGTTGCTATTAAATCGGCCGCCCTAGTTAATACTTATCATTATCATAGTGGTTGCGATTCTATTATTGTTCTATTACTAGTTTTATTTGATCAGAGAACGCCCCACTGAGCTACGCAGCTCTTTTTTCAGAAGTGATCTGGCCACGTGTCACGATAGCTTAACCAAGTGGCTTGTCATCATCGTGTGGACATTTAGAGCAGCAAAACACTCTGAACGCAACGTTGATTCTAAATGTAGAGGAAAAAATCCGGAGGACCCGGAAAATTATCCACGTGACCACAGGGAGAGATAGAAACACGCAGACTCCAAATATACAGCAGCAGCAGGCGTCAGGGTTGGGATGGAACCCACGACCTCCTGCACACCAGGCGAGAGAGTTAACATCTCCTGGCCACCGCGGCGAGATGGTGGTAAGACGAGGCCATGAAGCGGGCTGCCTCTAGTGTAGGCCCAATCACAGTTTCAAAGACGATGTGTACATAATTATTAACGCCATGTTGGTTTGCATGTTTTGCCACAAACACGTGCCGTTAATGCAGACTTGATGATGCCTTGCAAACGCTGTCTATTTGGCGTTTGAACATTGCCAGAAAGGGTAGAGGGGTCCCATAAGACACTGACTGAGCGCTGTTGGCCTTAATAGGCGCTCGCTAACGACACCAGCCGCCTCGCCCGCTGGAGCTGACCGCCTGCGGCTTTTGCTGATTGCTGGTGGGGGGGGGTGGGGGCCCTTACCGTCGAAGGCAGACTTCTCCTCTGCGTTCCTGTCCTCTTCCGCAAGCATCACCTCTTCTGGACACGAGAGACGACACGAGGGGGGAGGGAGGGGTGGGACACGCCACGGTTGAACACTCTTCTCTTTTGGAACTGCTTGTTGTTGCTGTTGTTGTGTTTAGTGACTTGTTGTCCCCCCACCCCCAGCGCAACTCCGATTTGCACGGTTGGCTATGCATGGTGCGAAAGAGGTCCAGCACAAACAAAAAACAAAGACAAAGATCCCCCGTGTAGCCTTAACAGACTGTAACGGCAAGTGCTGTTAGCGAGCACCTTTGAAGGCCGGAACGGTACACAAGGGGATGGGTGGCCAGCACCAAGCCCGACCGCCTGTCCCCCCAGTGGCGATGTTTACACACCACACCAGGTACTCATTTGAGGCTGTGTCGACCTAGGCGAGGCTCAGGACCGGTTCAGATAATCGTCACTGGTGTTGGCCGTGAGCGGGAATCGAACCCGTGTTGCCAGGTTCATAGCGCAGCGAGCGAACCGCTACACTACCGCTCCACACACACATACACAAAGGCCAAAGACACACATACATACATACACACACATATACATGGACACAGACGAGAGAGTGGAACCATCATCCCTACCCCCATCTCCTATCCAGAGGTCTGTTGGTGGGTCGAGTTGTTAGTAAGTGCAACTTTACTCCTGTCGATTCTAAACGTGTTGTATGGCGTGCACACTAAACACGAGACGTGACTTTAAAAGTTGTATAATCTCCTGTAGATGTATATGCTAATGCGCCTTCACGTTCTGCAGATGTAGATGCCACTGGTTCTTCACGGTCTGTAGATGTAGATGCCACCACCGCCATCTATTGCACGGGCAAGTTGAACTTACGACTCTCGGTCCGAACAAGCAACTGGACATACGGACCAGGTTTGTTCGTATCTCTGAAAGTTCGTAAGTCGAATGTTCGTAAGTAGAGGATTCCCCTGTAGTGCATAACACCCCCTCTCCACTCCCCAGGGGGGGGGGGGGGCGTGTCAAAAAACGCAACGCCGCTCATCTCCAGGCCCGTTTAGCGGCACATGAAATATTAATGTCGCCCGCATTTTCATTTCAGTTTTTGTGTTCTACCCCCCCCTTACAAATAATAAATTACCCCTCCAGCTGCGCGCAGAGTTACCCCACCTCCCCCCTGTGACACTGATGATGAAGACGCTGCTGCTGTGTTCCGTACACACACGCACACACACGCACATACAACACAAACAAACACGCCCGCACGCACACACACGCACACACACGCACGCGCGTACAACACAAATACACACGCCCGCACGCACACGAGCACGCACGCAAAACACGCATGCACGCGTGCGCACATGCACACGGCGCGTCAGAACGGGGTGTCTTTGCACGATCATAGTGCAGCGCTTCTTTGTTGTTAGCACACCTGGCTGGCACACCTGGCCGGCACACCTGGCTGGCACATCTGCCGTAATCAAATATTAAGCGGGTGGGGAGCGAGACACCACCTGCACCCCACAGAGACAAAGAACCCCTTCCTCGTATAGCCTTAACAGACTGATGGGGCAAGTGCTGTTAGCGAGCACCTATGAAGGCCGGAACGGTACACGAGGGGGTGGGTGGCCAGCACCACGCTCGACCACCTTTGTCTCCCCAGTGGCGATACTTTACACACTGCACCAGGTACTCATTTGAGGCTGAATCGACCTAGGGGAGGCCCAGGAGCAGTTCAGATAATCGTCACCGGTGTTGGCCGTGAGCGGGAATCGTGTCGCCGGGTTCATAGCGCAGCTCGCTAATCGCTACACTACCGCTCCCCACACAATCGCACACGTAGCTACTCACACACACACACGTAGCTACTCACACACACACACGTAGCTACTCACACACACACACGTAGCTACTCACACACGCACACGTGGCTACTCACACACGCACACGTGGCTACTCACACACGCACACGTAGCTACACACACACACACGTAGCTACTCACACACACACACGTAGGCTACTCACACACACACACGTGGCTACTCACACACGCACACGTGGCTACTCACACACACACGTAGCTACTCACACACACACACAGCTACTCACACACACACACGTGGCTACTCACACACACACACGTAGCTACTCACACACACACACGTAGCTACACACACACACACGTGGCTACTCACACACACACACACGTGGCTACTCACACACGCACACGTAGCTACTCACACACACACACACGTGGCTACTCACACACACACACGTAGCTACTCACACACACACACGTGGCTACTCACACACACGTAGCTACACACACACGCACACGTAGCTACACACACACACACACGTAGCTACTCACACACACACACGTGGCTACTCACACACACGTAGCTACACACACACGCACACGTAGCTACACACACACACACGTGGCTACTCACACACACACACGTGGCTACTCACACACACACACGTGGCTACTCACACACGCACACGTGGCTACTCACACACGCACACGTGGCTACTCACACACGCACACGTGGCTACTCACACACACGTAGCTACACACACACACACACGTAGCTACACACACACACACACACGTAGCTACTCACACACACACACGTAGCTACTCACACACACACACGTAGCTACACAGGCAAACGCAGAGAGAGGGACACAGGCACACGGGCGTGTGAACACACGCAGACACGTCTAGACACTCGTGCACAGACACAATCGCGTGGTGGTGTGCCGAGTGTTGTTGTGTGCCACGCGTTGTGGTGGTGGTGGTGGTGTGCCGAGGGTTGTGGTGTGTGTGTGGTGGTGCTGGCGGCGGTGGTGGTGGCGATGGTTGCGGTGGTTGCGGTGGTGGTGGTGGCGGTGGTTGCGGCAGTGGTGCTGGCAGTGGTGGTGGTGCTGGCAGCGGGTAGGCAGTGGTGGCGGCGGTGGTTGCGGTGGTGCTGACGGTGGTGGTGCTGGTGTTGGTGGTGGTGGTTGCGGTGGCGGTGGTTGCGGTGGTGCTGGTGGCGTGTCGCACCGGCCTTGCAGATCCACTCCATGTACCCGTTGAGCTCGCGCTCGATCTGCTGCTGCCGACGCAGCTTGAGGAAGGCGCGGCGGTTCTCCACACGCTCGCGCTCCTTGGCAAACTCCCTGCGTCCGCGGGAGTGAGGCGAGGGGTCCCAGACACACACACAGGGTCACGGAGGCACGTAGGCGCAGACACGTGGGGGTCATGGTTAGACACGTGCTGATGGGTGGGTGGGTGGATGAAGTGCATGGATAGATGAATCGGTAGATAAGATACTTGGAGTTGCAGTGCGGGCAGTGTTGAGCATATGGGCAGTGTTGAGCCTATGGGCAGTGTTGAGTCTATGGGCAGTGTTGAGTCTATGGGCAGTGTTGAGTCTATGGACAGTGTTGAGTCTATGGGCAGTGTTGAGTCTATGGGCAGTGTTGAGTCTATGGGTAGTGTTGAGTCTATGGGCAGTGTTGAGTCTATGGGCAGTGTTGAGTCTATGGGCAGTGTTGAGTCTATGGACAGTGTTGAGTCTATGGGCAGTGTTGAGTCTATGGGCAGTGTTGAGTCTATGGGCAGTGTTGAGTCTATGGGCAGTGTTAAGTCTATGGGCAGTGTTGAGTCTATGGACAGTGTTGAGTCTATGGGCAGTGTTGAGTCTATGGGTAGTGTTAGTGTGGGCGGGACGTGTGCGTGGACGATGAACTTCTTTAACACCGGATGTAGCCAACCGTGCTCATAGGAGGTGCGGGAGGTACGAGAGACGCACGGATAGATGGACGGACGTCACGCGTGGACGGATATGTGGACACGTGCAACGATGCGCGGCGGATCGACAGACAGACGAAGTCTTGAGACTCGCCAAGAGAGAAGGACCAAGGGGGGAGGAACGCACCCAGACAGGACTCCCAGCACGAGGTTGAGCATGAAGAAGGAGCCAATGATGATGAGGGGAACGAAGTAGAGCCAGTTCCACTTGCTCCCGTACACGTCGTTGGTCTGCACGCACACACAAAGACAAAGATCCCCCGTGTAACCTCAATAGACCGTCAAGGCAAGCGCCGTTAGCGAGTAGCAGCACCTACGAAGGCCGGCACGGCACATGAGGGGGGGGTGGCCAGCACCACGCCCGGCTGCCTTCGTCTCCCGAGTGGCAATGTTTACTACGCACCGCACCGGGTACTCATTTGAGGCCGAGTCGACCTAGGGGAGGCCCAGGTCCGGTTCGGATAATCGTCACTAGCGGTGTTCGTGACGGTGAGTGGGAATCGAACTCTGGTCGCGGGGTTCGAAGCGCAGCGCGCCGCCAGTGACAACCGCCGTCCACGCTAAGTGGTGGCGAGGTCACCACGGCGCTGGTGCCAGGCCACGTGCACTTTGCGCCCCACGTGAAGTGTCCAAGGCTCGCTGGCAAGAGGTCACGGGGCAGACCCAGGTGCCATGGGTTGACCGACTGAGATGGCTGGCAGAAGCCACCAGCAGCTGTGCCCCCCCCCCCCCCACTGTGCTATCACCCACCGTCCCACTCACCCACCATTCACATGCAGTCACCCACTCACTCACCACCTACTCACTCATTCACTCACTCATTCCCTCACTCATTCACTCACTCATTCCCTCATTCACTCACTCTTGTGAACTAGACTCGTTCTGGCCTCCTGAGTTCTCACTTCTGGTGAACACCTCCGGTTAGCACGGTTGGGTACGTACGGTGAACGTCGTACAACGTACGTACAACACGGCACAACACACCATGAACTCGAACATGGCCGAGGTTCGTCGTTCCAATCCAGCGGTCGCCCTGGTTAATACTGCCGCTGTTGTTGTGCGACGTGCCCACACGCTCCCCGTCTGCCGGCGGAGCCCGTGAGTGAAATTCACGGGAAAGGGCGACGCACAGCGGCAGTAGCAGCGATAGGGGAGCGATCAGGGGGGTGACTGACTGCTCCGGATAAGCGAGGGGCTGAGTGAGTGCCGGCTCATCAATCACCGCTGACTTGTTTCTGCTCCACCGCTCCACACCATCAGGCGCAGCACCGGAATGGGAACTGGGCGCTATTTAAACTCCAAGAAAATTTAAATACACACGAATTATAATTAGTAATCATTAGGCACGTGTGGACATTAAAGGGATCGCCAACGTTACAAATTTAGAATTTCTCCACCCCCCCCCCCCCCACTAAACACACCCCTCCCCACTAATCACACCCCTCCCCACTCACCACACCCCTCCCCACTCACCACACCCCTCCCCACTCACCACACCCCTCCCCACTCACCACACCCCTCCCCACTCACCACACCCCTCCCCACTCACCACACCCCTCCCCACTAACGATACCCTTCCCCACCAATCAGACCCCTCCCCACCAATCAGACCCCTCCCCACCAATCAGACCCCTCCCCACCAATCAGGCACCTCCCCACCAATCAGACCCCTCCCCACCAATCAGACCCCTCCCCACCAATCAGACCCCTCCCCACCAATCAGACCCCTCCCCACCAATCAGACCCCTCCCCACCAATCACACCCCTCCCCACCAATCACACCCCCCCACCAATCAGACCCCTCCTCACTCATCAGACCCCTCCCCACCAATCAGACCCCTCCCCCCTGATCAGACATCCCACTGATTATCAGTGACGTCAGCAGGATCGATTGTGCCAAGCACGGCCCCTCTGAACGCAGACGAGCCGATCGATCTGCAGGCGGGGGGGGGGGGGGGGTAACGCAGAACAAATCCAGAGCACTTCATTTGCAACGAGCGTGGGGCTCAGCAGCGGCGCGCATGTGTGTACATGTGTGTGTGTGTGCGCGCGCGCGCGCGCGCACACACACACACGTGCGTGTGCGCACGTGTGTGCAGGGAGCGGTGGTGTAGCGGTGAGGGCTTTACTGCGCTACGAACCGGGCGACCTGAGTTCGATTCCCGCTCACGGCCAACATCGGTGACGAATATATTTGAACCGGTCCTGGGCCTCCCCTAGGTCGACTGAGCCTCAAATGAGTACCCGGTGTGGTGTGCAGTAAACGTCGCCACCGGGGAGACAAAGGCGGCCGGGCGTGGTGCTGGTCACCCACCCCCTCGTGCGACTCGCTAACAGCACTTGCCCCAACAGTCAGTGAAGGCTACGCGGGGGATCTTTGTCTTCGTGCCGCCCAGCGGTTGTTAGCGCCACGCTCGTGAGCCCGGCAGAGCCGAGCCGCTCGCAGCCAAACGTCAGCCCTCCCCCCCCCCTAGACGGGTGGCCGGTGCGTCTCCGCGCTGCGTAGAAACCGGCGTCGGCACCGGGGAGACAACAAAGGCGCTTGGTCGTGCGGGCGGGCGACACTCGATACCCGGCACTTGCCCCGATGATCCCGAGTCGTCAACTACACGGGGGACCTTTGTACGTACTATGTTGCCAACCGTGCTGCTGCTCAGAGGTGCGGGGGAAGGACAACAAACTAAACACTAAAGTAGTTAATTAGTCTTCAATAGAGATGACGATCTAAAAGTGCATCACAGCTCCCAAGGCCTTCTAAACATCGGGAAGGAAAGAGCTTTCCAGACGGCCGCAGAAGCGGCGCGTGTGGTTCACCCAGGGCTGTCCGTACGTACGCACGCACGCACACACGCGCGTATGTACGCGCGGAGGGGGCGGGGGAAGGCCAACAAACTAAATGCGGTCCTTGGGAAATGAGTTGTCGACCGAGCAGTGGCGCTCCGCTCACGTAGTAGAGGAGGTCTGTCCAGCCCTCCATGGTGATGCACTGGAAGACGGTGAGGATCGCGAAGAGGATGTTGTCGAACTTGGTGATGCCGAAGTTGGGGCCGATCCAGCCCGACTGGCACACGAGGTTGTTGGGGCAAGGCCGCACCCCGCACAGGCGGTCGTCCTCCCAGGATTCTGCCGGAAGATGGACGGGGAGGGTGGAGGATGGGTGGAGGATAGAAGAGGAGGATGGAGGATGGGTGGAGGATGGAAGAGGAGAGTGGAGGATGGAAGAGGAGGATGGAGGATGGGTGGAGGATGGAAGAGGAGGATGGGTGGAGGATGGAAGAGGATGGAAGAGGAGGGTGGAGGATGTAAGAGGAGGGTGGAAGATGGAGGATGGGTGGAGGATGGAAGATGGAGGATGGGTGGAGGATGGAAGAGGAGGGTGGGAGAGGAGGATGGAGGATGGGTGGAGGATGGAAGAGGAGGGTGGATAGGGAGGAGGAGGAGGAAGAGGGGAAGACACCATCGTCGTCATCCTCGTTACCTAGTTGCGCAAATAAACGCCGTTAGCGACCGAGGTGGCGGTGACGTCACCACGGTGCTTTGTGCCAGGCTAGGTACGCGTCGAGGAGGTCACGTGACGTGGACAGACCCCGGGCGTTATGGGTCGACTGACTGAGATGAGCGGCAGATGTACCACCTGTGCCACCCGTCATTCACCCACAGGGACGCGGCCGTCGTGATGATGTTCGCGACACTGCCGCTGATGATGCTGTTGATGATGATGCTGCTCATGATGATGATGGTTTTGATGCTGCTGCTGATTGTGATGATGATGGTTTTGATGATGCTGCTGATTGTGATGATGATAGTTTTGATGATGATGATGCTGATTGTGATGATGATGGTTTTAATGATGCTGCTGATTGTGATGATGATGGTCTTGGTGATGCTGCTGAGGCTGCTGAATGTGGTGATAATGATGGTTTTGATGAAGATGATGATGTTGCTGCTGCTGGTGATGCTGCTGCTGCTGGTGATGATGATGATGATAATGTTGCTGCTGATGATGATGGTGGTTTTGATGATGATGATGATGATGATGTTGCTGCTGCTGGTGATGCTGGCGAGGGCTGAGAGCGCGCACCGGTGACGTTGTTGTAGCAGGTGCTGTGCAGCTTGCCCATGTAGAACTCCATGCCGATGATGGCGAACATGAGGATAGCAAAGAAGAGGAGCAGCTCAATCTGCAGCAAGGGGATCATCGCCTTCATGATGGACTTGAGTACCACCTGCAGACCTGCACGGCATCAGCAGCACCATCGTCATCATCAGCAACAACAGTATCATCGGCGTCGTCATGAGCAGTTGCAGCAGCATCATCATCATTAGTAGCAAGCACAGCAGTATCGTCAGCAGTATCGTCAGCATCATCAGCAGCATCATCATCAGCACCATCGACATCATCAGCAGCATCATCAGCAGCAGCAACACCGTCATCAGCAGTAGCAGCAACATCATCAGCAGCACCATCGTTATCAGCAGTAGAAGCAGCAGGAGCAGCATGACCAGCAGCAGCAGTATCGTAATCAGTAGCAGCACCATCATTACCAGTAGCCGCATCATCGCCGTCATCATCAGCACCACCACCATCAATAGCTGAACAATCATCATTAGCAGCATCATTTTCATCAGCAGCAGCAAGCAGCACCATCATCAACATCAGCAGCATCATCATCAGTCGCAGCACCATCATCATCAGTAGCAGCATCATCGCCATCATCATCAGCATTACCATTATCAGTAGCAGCATCATTGTCATCATCAGTAGCAAACAGCACCATCATCATCAGCAGCAGAATCATCATCAGTAGCAAACAGCACCATTATCATCAGTAGCAGCAGAATCATCATCAGCAGCACCACTATCAGTCGCACATCATCATAAGCAGCACCATTAGCAAGCATCATCATCATCAGTAGCAGCATCATCGCCATCATCATCAGCAGCAGCATAATCAGCAGTTCATGCCGACACCATCATCTACATCATCGAACGCAGCCATCGAGATTGTGAGTGGCTAGAGACGGGAGAGTCTGATGGAGTGGGGGAGTGGGAGTGCGAGGGAGTGTGAGGGAGTGCGAGGAAGTGGGAGGGGGAGTGGGAGGGAGTGTGAGGGAGGGGGAGTGCGAGGAAGTGGGAGGGGGAGTGGGAGTGCGAGGGAGTGCGAGGGAGTACGAGGGAGTGTGAGGGAGTGCGAGGGAGGGGGAGTGCGAGGAAGTGGGAGGGGGAGTGGGAGGGAGTGTGAGGGAGTGCGAGGGAGTGGGAGTGCGAGAGAGTGGGAGGGGGAGTGGGAGGGAGTGTGAGGGAGTGCGAGGGAGTGGGAGTGCGAGGGAGTGGGAGTGTGAGGGAGTGCGAGGAAGTGGGAGGGGGAGTGGGAGGGAGTGTGAGGGAGTGCGAGGGAGTGGGAGTGCGAGAGAGTGGGAGGGGGAGGGGGAGGGAGTGTGAGGGAGTGCGAGGGAGTGGGAGTGCGAGGGAGTGGGAGTGTGAGGGAGTGCGAGGAAGTGGGAGGGGGAGTGGGAGGGAGTGTGAGGGAGTGCGAGGGAGTGGGCGAGGGAGTGGGAGGGGGAGTGTGAGGGAGTGCGAGGGAGTGGGAGTGCGAGGGAGTGGGAGTGGGAGTGTGAGGGAGTGCGAGGAAGTGGGAGGGGGAGTGGGAGGGAGTGTGAGGGAGTGCGAGGGAGTGTGAGGGAGGGGGGAGTGGGAGTGGGAGGGAGTGCGAGGGAGTGGGAGGGAGTGTGAGGGAGTGCGAGGGAGTGGGAGTGTGAGGGAGTGCGAGGGAGTGTGAGGGAGTGCGAGGGAGTGGGAGGGAGTGTGAGGGAGTGCGAGGGAGTGGGAGTGCGAGGAAGTGGGAGGGGGAGTGGGAGGGAGTGGGAGGGAGTGTGAGGGAGTGGGAGGGAGTGCGAGGGAGTGGGAGTGCGAGGGAGTGGGAGGGAGTGTGAGAAAGTGCGAGGGAGTGGGAGTGGGAGTGCGAGGGAGTGGGAGGGGGAGTGGGAGGGAGTGGGAGTGCGAGGGAGTGGGAGGGGGAGTGGGAGGGAGTGTCAGGGAGTGCGAGGGAGTGGGAGTGCGAGGGAGTGGGAGTGCGAGGGAGTGGGAGTGCGAGGGAGTGGGAGGGGGAGTGGGAGGGAGTGTGAGGAAGTGGGAGGGGGAGTGGGAGGGAGTGGGAGGGAGTGGGAGTGCGAGGAAGTGGGAGTGGGAGGGAGTGCGAGGAAGTGGGAGGGGGAGTGGGAGGGAGTGTGAGGGAGTGCGAGGGAGTGGGAGTGCGAGGGAGTGGGAGTGTGAGGGAGTGCGAGGAAGTGGGAGGGGAGTGGGAGGGAGTGTGAGGGAGTGCGAGGGAGTGGGAGTGCGAGGGAGTGGGAGTGTGAGGGAGTGCGAGGGAGTGTGAGGGAGTGCGAGGGAGTGGGAGGGAGTGTGAGGGAGTGCGAGGGAGTGCGAGGGAGTGGGAGTGCGAGGGAGTGGGAGTGGGAGGGAGTGTGAGGGAGTGCGAGGGAGTGGGAGTGCGAGGGAGTGTGAGGGAGTGCGAGGGAGTGGGAGTGGGAGGGAGTGTGAGGGAGTGGGAGTGTGAGGGAGTGCGAGGGAGTGGGAGGGAGTGGGAGTGCGAGGGAGTGGGAGGGGGAGTGGGAGGGAGTGTGAGGGAGTGCGAGGGAGTGTGAGGGAGGGGGAGTGCGAGGGAGTGGGAGGGGGAGTGTGAGGGAGTGCGAGGGAGTGGGAGTGTGAGGGAGTGCGAAAAAGTGGGAGGGGGAGTGGGAGGGAGTGTGAGGGAGTGCGAGGGAGTGGGAGTGGGAGGGAGTGTGAGGGAGTGCGAGGGAGTGGGAGGGGGAGTGGGAGTGCGAGGGAGTACGAGGGAGTGTGAGGGAGTGCGAGGGAGTACTTGGGATGCCTGACACGAGCTTGAGCGGCCGTAGCACTCTGACGGCACGCAGAGTGCGCAGGTCGTAGTAGCTGCCCATGTTAGCGAGCAGCCTGGCACGCACACAAAGACAAAGATCCCCCGTGTAGCATCACAGACTGTTGGGGAAAGTGCCGCGAGCGGGGAGCAGCACCGCTGAAGGGCGGCACGGCACACGAGGTGACGTCGACACACACCGACCTAGGGGAGGGCCCCAGGGCCGTGAGGTTCGTAGCGCGGCGCGCTCACCACCAACAACAACAACACCACCACCACCAACAACAACACCACCAACAACACCACCACCAACAACAACAACACCACCACCAACAACACCCCCACCAACACCCCCACCACCAACACCAACACCCCCACCAACACCACCACCAACACCCCCACCACCACCAACAACACCCCCACCAACACCCCCACCCCCACCAACACCCCCACCAACAACACCACAAACACCACCACCAACACCCCCACCAACACCCCCACCACCACCAACACCCCCAACAACACCCCCACCAACACCCCCACCACCAACACCAACACCCCCACCAACACCACCACCAACACCACCACCACCAACACCCCCACCAACACCCCCACCCCCAACACCCCCACCCCCACCAACACCCCCACCAACACCAACACCACCACCAACACCCCCACCAACACCCCCACCACCACCCCCAACACCCCCACCAACACCCCCACCAACACCCCCACCACCACCACCAACACCCCCACCACCAACACCCCCACCAACACCCCCACCAACACCACCACCACCAACACCCCCACCACCACCAACACCAACACCCCCACCAACACCAACACCCCCACCAACACCCCCACCACCACCACCAACACCCCCACCAACACCCCCACCAACACCAACAACACCACCAACACCCCCACCACCACCCCCAACACCCCCACCCCCACCAACACCCCCACCAACACCCCCACCACCAACACCCCCACCAACACCCCCACCAACACCAACAACACCACCAACACCCCCACCAACACCACCCCCAACACCCCACCCCCACCAACACCCCCACCACCAACACCACCACCACCAACACCACCACCACCAACACCACCACCACCAACACCACCACCAACACCAACACCAACACCACCACCACCAACACCACCACCAACATCACCACCACCAACATCACCACCAACACCACCACCAACACCACCACCACCAACACCACCACCAACACCACCAACACCACCACCACCAACACCACCAACACCAACACCACCAACACCACCACCACCAACACCCCCACCACCACCACCACCAACACCCCCACCACCACCAACACCCCCACCACCACCAACACCACCACCAACACCAACACCCCCATCAACACCCCCACCCACACCCCCACCTACACAACACCCCCACCACCACCACCAACACCACCACCACCAACACCCCCACCAACACCCCCACCAACACCACCACCAACACCCCCACCAACACCCACACCAACACCAACACCCCTGGCCACTTGCCACTCGGTGACGTCACCACGGCGCCAGTGCCAGGCCAGGTGCACTTTGAGGCCACGCGCAGCGGCGAGGCAGGGGGTCTCGGGACAGACCCAGCAGGTGCCACGGGTTGGCCGAGTGAGATGACCACTGGTAGAGGCACCACCAGCTGTACCCCTACCGTGCCAGGCTAGGTGCAGGAGGTCTCGGGACAGACCCAGCAGGTGCCACGGGTTGGCCGACTGAGATGACCACTGGTAGAGGCACCATCAGCTGTACCCCCTACTGTGCCAACTCGCTGTGTTTTTGCCGCCCAGCGCTCCACTCGTTGTTGTGAGCGTCGCCCCTCTGTCCTCCGCTGCTGCTGGAGGGCGACTGCCTCCCACAGAGGCCGATCTTGACACCGCCGGTACCAGTCTTCGGCAAGTCTACCCAGTTCCACATCCTCCCGTACCGTATTAGTCTCTAGCCCGTGTCGTGATCGTTTAGCCCTCTCTGTCCGGCCAAACAGAAGCTGCTTGGGCATGCGGTGGCTGGGCATGCGGGCTACGTGACCCAGCCAATGCAGCCTTGCCTGCCGGAGGAACTCACCGATGGGAATGTGTCCAGATCTTTCAAGGATTTGGGAGCTCCTCACACAATCCAACCTGGTTAAACCCAGGATGGATTGTAGACATGCCAGTCTGAATGTTGGTAACCAGCGCAGATGTTTAATTAGCGAGGTCCACGTTTCAAAAGCATAGAGGAAGAAGGGCATCACTATAGCCGAGAAATACCAGTGTGGTGTGAGTGTGGTGTGGTGTGAGTGTGGTGTGAGTGTGGTGTGGGTGTGGTGTGTAGAGAAGAGGGTTTATTTTTGTGCTCGTGACCGGGTCGTGGATGCGTCCTGATTTTCAATCGAGCGACGGCGGCGGGAGCGGAGAGAGAGAGACGAGAGAACAAGGACACGCACACAAAGACAAAGACCCCCCGCCTAGCCTCAACACACTGTCGGGGCAAGTACTGTTTGCGAGCGCCTACGGCACGGTACACGAGGGGGTGGGTGACCAGCATCGCGCCCGACGGCCTTTGTCTCCCCGGTAACGATGTTTACACACTGCACCGGGTACGCATTTGAGGCTGCATCTACCTAGCGGAGGCACATGACCTCTTCAGATAATCGTCACCGGCGCTGGCCGTGAGCGGAGCACAGCGGAGCACAGCGCGCGAACCGCCGTGCCACTACCGTGCCACTACCGTGCCACCGCCGTGCCACTGCCGTGCCACTACCGTGTCACCGCCGTGCCACTGCCGTGCCACTGCCATGCCACCGCCGTGCCACTACCGTGCCACTGCCGTGCCACTACCGTGCCACCGCCGTGCCACTGCTCCCCATGGCCACCAACGACAGCTCATCGAAGTGGCGGCTCATCATCATCATCACTCACAGTGGAGGTGTTTGTGGGAGAGATCGTGTAAATATATAAATGTGTCGTTAAACCCGCCACCACCCGACACAGCCAACTAGTAAGGGTTGTCACGTAAACAGAACGTGCCAATTCGTCACTAGTACAGCACTAGTGTATAGTGTAGTGTATTGTGTGTAGTGTATAGTGTATAGTAGTGTAGTGTATAGTAGTGTATTGTATAGTAGTGTATTGTAGTGTATAATAGTGTATAGTGTAGTACAGTACAGCACCAGTGTATAGTGTAGTGTATAGTGTGGTGTATAGTGTATAGTAGTGTATAGTGTAGTAAACTAGTACAGCACTAACCGGTGTGTTGGAGAGCCAAGCCACAACATACAACGTTTCACCAGTAATTACAACTTGCTTCATCAGGCGACAGCAAGATTTGTGGAGAACTCCACCTGTTTCGTTACGAAATCATCATCATCATCACGTGGAAATGTATAGCAGCAGCCAAATGTGGAGCGAAAAACCGGAGGACCCGGAGAAAAATCCACGCGACCACGGGGAGAGAGAGACGCAAACTCCAAATATACAGTGGCAGGCATCTGGGTCCGGATCGAACCCACGACCTCCTGTGTACCAGGCGAGGTAGTTAACATCTCATAGCCGTCACCACCACCACTCTGCTGGCATACCTGGCACGACCCTCCTGAAAACAAGTCACGAGACTCAGAGAGACTCTCTCCTGGGTGAACGAGCAAAACGATGACATCAATAATAAATAAATAAGAGTAAAAGAACAATCAACGCCTTTAACTTGAAATGGAACGCGCGAAAGTGAGAGAACGCCTCGTGGGCTATAGATATTTTGTGAAAAGGTCTCAGGGGGATAGGCGTCACCGCACAAAGCCTTGGCCTACTTTAACTGCAACCGCCCTTGGTTGTACAGCGCTAACAAAATGCAATTATAACGATAACCCTGAGGCATCGGGCAATCCGCTGCTGGATGAAGGCCTCGCCACGCCGTGCCGGTCTCATGGGGGCTGTCTGACCGTAATTCACCGCACTGCTTCGGTGCGCATTCGTGATGCCGAGGGCTGCCTGGGACCGGCTCCGTGAGCGATCGGCGTCGCTGCTGTTGGCGGTCGTAGCCGGGAATCGATCTCAGGTGGCCGGGTTCGTAGCGCGAGGCGCTGACCGCACACCCACACGCACACACACGCACACAAATGCACGTGCGCACACACGCACACACACACCATATACACACACCCCCGCATACCACATGCACACACACGGTACGCACACATCACACACGGTACGCACACATCACACACGGTACGCACACACACACGCACACACAAACGCACACACACATCACGCACACACAGACACACGCACACACGCACACACGCCCACCAACAGTGCGAAAAAGCCACGCGCCACTTCCCATCAGCATCCCCTCACCCGGAAGCGGGGAACCATGGTAACGGGTCGCCATGGCAACCAACAATGGGGTGCACAGGCATCGCCATGGAGACTGGGGGAGAGGATGATGGAGACGACCATGCCAGAACAGAGGTTTTTCTCCTCTTAAAACGCACACGCGGTCAGTGTGATCCACTTTTCACGTGGGCATTTAGGGACTGGCGCTCGCTTGCTGGGTATAGACCTGCAGAGCTAGTGGTGGAAATTCCACATTCCTATGGCGGGGATAGTATTTCTATCGGATAACTGCTCTTTACTTTTCTCCGCAAAGTTACCACCACCGCCATCACCGCCACCACCACCACTACCATCGACGCCACCATCACCGCCACCACCATCACCGCCACCGCCACCACCATCACCGCCACCACCATCACCGCCACCAACATCACCGCCACCACCACCCACCACCCCCGACACCACCACCGACACCACCACCATCAACGCCACCCCCACCGCCACCACCGCCACCACCACCGCTAACGCCACCACCACCGCCACCACCATCGACACCACCACCATCGACACCACCACCATCAACACCACCACCGCCGCCACCACCACCATCAAACCACCACCACTACCACCATCGACCCCACCACCACCGCCACCACCACCATCGACACCACCACCATCGACACCACCACCATCAACACCACCACCGCCGCCACCACCAC